GGCCCGTCATCTAAAATACGGAGATCAAGCAGCTTTTTATTTAAAAAAAAAAAACTAAAAACAGCATGACTGACAGCATCACTACATCTTCTGAGGTAATTCTTTTTTCAGATTTGAGCAGAATAATAATGAAATGCAACAATATGCTAAATTTAAATCTTGAGTTGCCATTTAGTTTTTGTATAAGTATGCAAATTTCCAGATTTTTTAGCATTTTCAGCCTGTATTTAAAGTATACATATAAATGCTGACGTATCTGTGGCTGGAAGAAAGATAAACCAATAGATGGAATAGCACATGGATGAGTAGGCAGTCTGAACACTCAAATTCCAGATGTGGAAAATTCAAATGTCAGAATTTCTCTGGAACTCTACAATGCTACCCGCCTCTTTTCGGTGTTTTGTTTCCTTTTTGAATAAGTCAGCTCTGTAATCGACCCCACACAGTTCTCCCTCCCAGGTCAGCACTGCTGAAATGATGACTGTGTTGCAACTTCCTGCCTGTGGGCTACAATGACTGAGTGAAGTATGTGTTCCACTAACGTGAGACAAAGAGAGGAAAGGTGTAGCATCCTTGTCCCTGCACTCTAAGAAAAACTTAATTTTCTGTTGCAAAACATTGTCACTGGAAACATTGGAAACAATTCTTTTATTCATATTTTCACCAACATACCAATATTTTTATTACAGATATATTAAACCAGGGCTAATTATGTCTGTTTGATCTGATGCAGTATAGACATCTGGCTACATACCCTTTTTAAAAACAAAGTCAAGTCGTAGGGACACAAATGATCTCTGATAGAGGTCAGGTAAGAAAAACAGGAAAATCTGCCTTAGGTTGCTATTAGGCAGTCTTGGCCAGTTGTTTTAAGAAAGGCAGAAATTGAGTCACTGGAATATCTGGAGGGCAAGTTGTCAGAGTCACCTTGGCCCCCATTTTATATTAGTAAGGCCCTGAAATTGTCTTTTGAGGGCCTGCCTGTTCGACCACTCTGAGTCCAGGTAGCTATCATCGTCTGCTTCGTCCAGTTTCTAGAAGCGTTATAAGAACAAAGTTAGGTTGAACATACAGAACAGTTACACGGAGCATAAAGGTTCACTTTACCCAACCTCACCTTAAGTTCTTCCTGTCTTTTGTAGTAATGCAGCATCATCTGTTTCTGCTGTTCATCAGTGACCAAGGGCTCTCTCGCTGGCGCCCCTTGTCCTTTCTAAAGCGAATAAATAACTAGTTAAGTCGAAAAGCACTTTGACAAAAACTATCAATATATAAATATTACTCTTGACAAGTTACAGATTCTCACCTTTTGGAGTTTGACCACAATCTTTGTCTTTTCATTTCTTCCAATGTAATCCTGAAGTTTCTTCCCTCTTTGCATCTCTTTACCGGCCCACCAAAACTGGCATTCTTCTTCTGTGATCACCTGCAGAGATGCCTGAGGAACGACAGATGGAAAGGGCAGATGGAAAGGACGGAGGGTCCAAAAAAAAAAAAAAAAAAAAAAAGCAGGTTGAAACTGGATGTTGCAGATTTCTCCCAAAGCAAGCTCTCAAACTGTTACATTCGACGGAGTACACTTCTTAAAAACGAAATGTGTCTCAAGTCAGTAACCTGGGATTCTACTAAATATTATGTCAAAATTTAAAAATGTCTAGTTTTCAGTATTTCTTTCACAATTTGTAAATATTAAATGCAAACGTTCACTCTGAATATTCAGCAGATGATGAATACACAAACAATCGGATGTACAGATGATTACATGTATACGAAGAATTTCCTAGAGATTCTAAGAAGACCGATTAGAGGCTCCTTCTATCAAAGTACCGAACATTGATTAAAACACTATCAACAGGCTAACCTGTGTCCCTGACAGATCTTCCTGATCATCAAACTCCATTCTTATTGGGTCATGAGGAGGCAGCCCCATTGGGTACACGATCATCACGGCACCCCTTAGTTGATCCAGCGCTTCCTTTACCATTTCCATGGTCACACAAACATTAGCTTGAACTTGTTTCTGCAAAATCAGAGCAACAGAGGTGATTGCTTGACCAATGATGACAAAAGCAAGGAGGTAAAAATGCAGTTTTTAAAGTAAAACTGACTTTAGAGATGAGTGCTTTTGCCTCCTCAACTGTCCTCATCAACACTTCCTTCATTTTATCATTTGGGGCTGGAATGCAAAAAAAAAAAAAAAAAAGAAAAAAAGATACATGTGTCTCAAGTCAGTACCAAGCAAAATTGTTTGCAATGTCTAAAAAGATAGCTGTGTTTACTTGGGAAAAGCAAACTTGTTTGCTTTTTTCTTTACATAGGGTCCATCAAAAAAGATTAATTCTCACCATGTCCATTCCTCCTCCCGATCTCATCCTTCCTAAATATCTTCCCTCCACTTGGAATGCATCGTTCTTCCCATTCATCCTTCAGTTTCAGTTCTACAATTTGCTCATCTGTCAGTCCCTGCATGTTGGGTGGAAGTGTGACGCCATGATCGGCCAGCTCTGGGATCTCTGACAAGACACAGCAAAGAATAATAATAATATATATACATATATATATGTATAACAACTATGTTGATACCAGATAGAAAGTCCACAAATTTAATTGTATCCTGACAAATTCTATGTAATATATAGAGCAATGTCCCAAAGGGTGTAGCACTTTCACATGAAAGGAAACATAAAATACAATTTGCAAGCCTTTTCTACAAATAGTCATCTCAAGTGTAGTGTGTGACTATATTCTTAAATACTTCTTCCAACCGAGGTGTACATCTCTCTACTTTCATGATGCTGTTTAATCACTAATGTTCTCTAACAAACCTTTGCAGAACAGCTTGACTTGTACTGAAATAGATTATAGAACCAAACTGATTGTACTGAATTTTATTTAGGAGTTAAGTAACAATCATGAATAAAAATGCATGCCACACTTTTCAGTTTTTCCATTTGTAAAACATTTCGATAACCATCAAACAATTCACTTTGTGTTGATATATTACATAAAATCCAAAGCGACTGTAAGACTGCTTTAACACTTCACAGTAGCAGTAGGGACGAGAAGGATGTGGATCTTTAAAGCACAGGCAGCAATGGAGACAGAGTTTTACCTGAACATATCCTATCCACTTTGAGCCTGCCGTTGTAAATAGCAGTAACCTGCTGGATCAACGATTCCAGAGGGGCGTCCGTTGTGGTGTTGAACAGAAACTGGCTCTCGTCTCCGCGCTTCACATGCAGCTGCACCATCCTTTACCGGCTCTCCTCCTAACAGAGAAGGTTATAGACGTAAGGCGAGAAGAGTTACAGTTAGTCCCGATGCCGAGAACCAAGGCGTCTTCAGGGCAACAGAGTAACCATGGTAACAGAGAAGCCCGGATGCTTCCAGAACAGCACGAGTAAACTCAGCTAGCCAGTTGATGTAGCTGTTAGCCACGGGTGGCGTTTAGTGTTTAACAATAAAAATTATACACAGCTTTGGATCCTAGTGAAGCTTACCTGGCAAGGAAAATGAGAAGTAGGTCGGTCTTCTTAAGTTCTGAATGTGAACTTATAATTTGTTGTTAACTGCTGTTACCATTTCCGATTGTGGAGTTACTTCTTCTAATGGAGTTCTAGAATATTTTCACACTTACTGCCCTCTAACGGTAAGGGACATTATTATTCTAAAGCAGTACTTCCAGATGAATTTAGTCCTTCACTTGACTTTGTCCCTTTGTATTTGAGATATTTAATATCTCTTAAAAACGCTACCAAGCTTAAATTTTTTTATACCGTCACGCCAATTTAAGGGAACATTGAACGTTGTAGAGAATTATTGTGAAGATAGAATTTCTTTTTTCACAGAAAAACTGAAGTGTGCTGTTTATTTGTATTCAGTTCTATTTATGTCACTAATTTGAATTAAATTACAGTACAATAGAGTCCACATAGGAATAAATTACTCTCGGTCTCAGTGAAAATACAGCTGTCTTCTGAAGGCTTTAGATGATTGTCATTATTCCAAACCTGCTCTATAATCTGAAAACAAAAAGTATACACTATGCCACAACTGCAAAAAGACCAATCTGAATGACTTGGCACCTTTGGAACAGTTAAAAATTTCATATCGCCAGAGAGGGCACAAATTCCAGGTGGGAGAACCTAGGAGACTTTGAACTGCAGTTTACAAGCCTTGCTGGGTACATGGTAAAGATATAGGTGCTACATGCAAACTTTTTGTGCGATGCAAAATTAATATTACACATCACTCTCATCACCATGTTTTTTTTTTATGTAGTCAGTTACCCATTACAAAATTACAAAGGGATAACACAAGCAAGCAAAAACAAAAAATATATAAGACTCCCATTACTTTCATGCATATGGTGGCAAGGGTGAGTTGATATTCCTACTCTATGTTGAGAATAGGGGCATCATTTTATGAGCTGCAATGCACTTGAAGCTCTATGTTCTTCTTCCAGAAATAGGCAGACTAAACAGCCAAAGGCACAATGGCAACAAAGGCATAGAGTATAAAAAAGAGACATAAAATAAATAAACATTTCCAGAGCACATGGGTGGCGAAAACAAGCTTTGTTTATGTTTTTAAGTCTGTCTGTACAAACGTCTATGCCCAGAGGTGTATCCCATAATTAGTTTTTGTGATTGAGAAACACTGGCCACATTAGCTGTGTTAGCCAAAATTAAAGTGGAGAAACATTAATAACTTGATGACTGTGACAGTCATTTTAATTAAAAGCATTGTGTCTTTCATTTTGAAACACTGCCAAAGACTTAGTTTTAAGCTGGTTTCATCATACACCATTAGGTCACAGAGTTTGCAGGACTGTCTGTCACCTCATTTCCAAGAAATTATAAAATGTTTTTTTTTTTTTCAAATCTACAGTAAAATGGTAACCCACTAGCAAGTGTTAGCTTGAAATTGATTTACAGGTAGAGCTGTGAATTAATAGAGTTCAGCCTCCCTTACCCCCCAAAACAAAATAAAACAAAACATACTTGTCAATGTACATTTATTTTAGCACACATACAACACAAACTATTTCATACTTTAATGTGCCATCTGCTTTGCACGTAAACTATGGAACAATGGATATTAACATGAATTACAGCTTCATGTATTCACTTTAATACATACAGAATATGTTTGTTTCACAACACAGACTCTTATTTACTATGGATTATAACCATAAAAAGGGAAATCGACCTCACAAAGGGAGCAATTTGTTACCTAAAAGAAATCTTGAATCCGAACCGTGACATGATGTAAAGCACTGGCTAGTGATCGACTGTTGATACAGCATCTACTGCACACATTGAGATAACAACAGATATATTTCAGAGATGGTGTGTAAGCTATTGGTGCCTGATACTCTTGCTTACACATAGATTTTAAATACAGACAATGAGATTTACTTTGCGTATTTACATCTGACATAGAAGCATAGAAGCAAAACCTAACAAACATGATCAGTTTATTTATTTATGTTTCTCAAAAATTCTTCTTAGACATTTATCCATTTATTTAATTTCTATGTGAAAAGGGGGACATGTTACATGTCTAGACAATATTTGGTGTGTCATGTTAGGATGGATACTGCCCCTGATCCTTCAGCACACCCATTTCCTCTCATCATTGCCCGGCAAACAAGTATTTAATGAGTGAATTGGGAACTACAAGACAAAATTGCTGAAACACACCTAAAAATGAATTCAAATTCTGTAAGACTATAAAACAACTTCTCAACAGCTGGAAACAGTCATATTCGGACATTAAATGAGGAATATTAAATACTTTGCGCAACTTGTAACAAGAGATGCAACAAGAAATGGGCCGAAAAATGTTTCAGCTGAATGGAAACAAAATAGCACAAATGGGCAAGAAGTATTTTTTCCCCTTTAGTAAATGCAAAATACACAAAACATAAGAGGTGGCACTGACAACAACACTCTTAGGTGTGCATACTGTTGCTAAGTGAAGAAGACTCCCAGATAGCTAGTTTTAGAATAAGTGAGGTGTTTAAAATAAAGTCAAAGGAAACAGAGATGTAAGAAGCTGTTAAAAAGGAAACCTTTTTTGCAATATCAACAAGTCTATAGAGAACAAGATTTTTCAGAATTAACAGGAAGGCTTGGCAGAGTACAGTGATGTTTATCTCTCTTGAGCTTTTCACTTTTGTCTGTTATGAATTATGCTGAATTTGGAAATTCTTGCATCTGTTTGGAAATTTCAGAGTTAAGGTACGAATTCACATTCTCTAGGAAACATGGACCAATATAGGATGCTATGGATGACCCTAAAATATTTCCTCTGAAATTATTTTGTAGCAACTGCTGTCTCACACAAACAATGCGAGAGTCCTATTGCTACCAATTTGAATAATTAATGACTGCTTATGGCAGGATAACTAAAATATATTCTATTTAAGCCATGGTCAGTTGGAAGTGTTCTCATCTGACCAAGAGAAAGTGCTATGTGAGAGATTTTACTTGATAAAGAAAAGAATCTCTTACTTAAATTTACATTATTGCCTTTAATCAGCAACTGACAGGTTAAAGAAAAACACAGTTGCAGGGTTAGCTGAGTGAATATTGGCTTTAGGCTTCGAGTCTGTAACACAAAATGATGGTTCCCACTCTTCAATTTTTACACAAGCTCACATCCAAAACAAGCAAACAAAAACACAACAGACGATATGCACCTCAAACACAGCACATCACTTCTCACCACAGTAACAATAATTATTTAGAGTAGCTGGTACAAGAAATGATAATAAATGACTCAAAGTAAACACAAAAGTGCTGTCTGGTTATAACCCTTGCAGATCCGAAGAATGTTGTCATTCATTCATTCGTTCATCCATCCATTCATTTTCTAACACCCTTGTCTGTAGTGGGGTCAGGAGGGGTGCTGGTGCTCATCTCCAGCAAAAGTTTCTGGTGAGAGGCGGGGTACACCATGGACAGGTCACCAGTCTGTCACAAGAATGTTGTCATTGTACTTTAAATACAAGTACACACACTACCACGCAACATTGTTATAATTTCTAATAGTATAGATGGATAAAAAAAAAGGAATCAAACTGAAATACTCCCTTCTGTTAGAACCTGCATGACTGGGAGAGTACATACAGTGTCTCAGTGCATATTTGTATCATTAAGCAAAACCTCTTGCTTGGTCCTTACAAATACACTCAAACGTCCAGCAAGTTATTTTTAAAATCATAAGTACATATATACAAGATTTTGTTATGTAGAAGTTTGGATGCTGAGCAAAACAATACTTTTTCTAATGTATATCGGCTTAAAGATAAGGAATGCCAACAGAAAACTAAATGACAAATTTTCAAGAGAATGTTGTGATATCAGTCCTGCAGCAGTCCAGTTAAACTGACACAATGGCTTGTGCTCTTGCCTTTTCCCCACACCGTGGAGTCAACAAATCCAGTGCAAATGAAATTACATTCACAAATTAAAGCGACTAAGTCTGAAGGATCCAAAACCCTGCAGTGCTCATCCTGCAACCAGATGACAAAGAGAGGGAGAGAGGCCAAATGTTGCTCTGAGAGCTCAGATTAGTCAAAATGGTGAATGGGAACCACAGAGACATCTGCAAAGCCACACATATTTATATGAGACATCAGTGCAGCCACACAGGTATGCTTTCATATTGCACAGGTGTGTAAACGCATGACTTGTGTATATAGATATACTTTATAGGACAACATACTGTAGACACAGGCACGTTTGCTGCTGTTAGTTAAAACATACATAACGAGTAAATCAAATGTTAAAGGGGCAGCATTATGTGTTTTTCAGGCACATAGTGCCATTTTATAGCACAATTAAGTAAGTATGCTACTTTCAGTTGTTATAAAAATGCTGTATTTGTTAAACATAATTTGACTTAACAATTTAATGCCTCCACCATCACAATTTAATGCCTTGAAATTGTGATGAAGGTGGAGACACTCAACCTTCATCATAATGACTCAATTAAGTCTTTAACAAGTTTTTTTTTAAACCAGTGTTTCTCTGAGAAATAGCTCATATAATACACCAGCACATGCACAGATTCGCCAGGTGTTTGCTAATTGCTGCTGCCGCTAGTCTGCAGGAGCTGAGTGGCAAAGGTGTGGGAGCGGGGTGCTCTGTGAAGTGGAGGCTGGGCTTGAAGACTGAGCTGCGTGGAAAAGACAATGCTGAGTGAGAGCAAGCGTCATGGATAGTTGAATGGTTGCCATAGGAGATTAATGGATTTCTCAGACATGCATGAAAGAATCAAAGCAACACCCCAGGTATGCTTGTGATGAGAAAATAGCATGATGCAGAGCTCAAAAAGGTCAACTTTACATAATACTGCCCCTTTAATATTAGAGAAGATTAAATGTTAAAACACGCAGCCGGGCTCAAACATTTCTCATGATACTGCTTTGAGATATAAACTCTTTCCTGTAATTGTAGGGTTTGGTCTATAATTCTTAAATATTGTCTCTTCTTTTTACATAAACGCATTTACTCATTTATCATAGATCTATACATATATGGATAAAACTCTCACATCTGAGGGGTGGCATTATGTTTTGGGTTTTTTTCTTTCCTACTGCGGACTACCTAGGAAAAAAGTCATTGTTGTTGGGACCCTGTTGGGGGTTCAGGTTACCGGTTACAGTTCTGTTTGGGACGTGAGTGGATAACCACTCAGGCTCGGAGTCAAACACAGAACGGGTTGACTGAGTTTGAGTCAGGGGCACAAAGGAACTGGACGAGAACATGGGGTTCTGTTGTGTTTTGGTTGTTGTGGAAAACTTTGAATCATCATCAAAAGTGACCCACTGCTTCTGTTGGTTCCCTCTTGAGGGAAGCGGCAGATGGCTCTGAGGTGCAAGAGCGGGAGGGAGGGAAGAGGGCAGCGCCAGCGGTAAAGTGAGGGCAGGAGACGGATCAAGAGGAGGAAGAGAAGCTTGAGTAGGAGTTGGACTGGATGAGGGTCTGAACAAAGACACAGTCTGACTGTGCTGGGAGGATGGTGCGACTGCAAGGGTGGGGACAAGCGGTTGAGAAAGAGCAGACAGAGTTCTCTGAAAGTCAGCCGTTTGAGTTGGATGCTGGAGGCTGAAGTCTGGGGTAAGGGAACGATGTGGCAGCGGCTGCTGGACAAAGGGGCCTGTGAAGGGATTGGTGCTGCTGGGTCGGGCAGGGAGTGGTTCAGACTGGAAAAGGTTCGGGGAAGCACGCAGGAGCTCCTGGGAGCGGCTGCGAGACGGGGCTGGGGGAGGCGGGAGCAGCAGGGTGGCTGACGGTGATGGTGTGGAGAATGAGGATGAGGAGGATGAGCTCAGGAATTGGAGGTCTGACAAAGCAGAGGACCGGAAGGACATGGATGAGGGGAGAGTAGAGGATGAATGTACAGATGAAGGAACAGAGGGTGGAGAGCGCAGAGAGGAGCCTCTGTTTAGGGACTGAGTGGTGTGCCGGGATGATGATGGAGAGGAGAACATGTTGGGTGTAATGGAGTCAAAGGGATCAGGCTTCCATTGTGCTTGTCTTTGGAATCCATTTAGTCCGTTGGTCTAAACAAGGGCAGAGCAGAGAAAATCTTTTTTAAGTACAAAAACAGATAATAGTAAAAATAAATAAAAACATGTTAACGTCACTGAGGTCTTTACATACAAATTTATAATCTAATAAACCATACAGTGGTCTGCAGAAGAACTTTTTCACATTTTGTGTCCTATTATAACCACACTTACATGTATTTTATTGGAATTTTATGTGACAGATGCAATTGTGAAGTATAATTAAAGGATGCAAGACGTTTCAACCAGTAAAAGTTGGGAAAGAGAGGTGTACCTTTGTATTATACTTTGTTTTCGTCTTTACTCTGAGACCACCTGATGAAATCCAGTGCAACAAACTATATACAATTTAGTCCACCTTAGTGAAGAAACAACATCATCCCTCAGATAATTTATTATAAAGCATACACTGAACAAGTCAGGTATAAAAGCTCTTAAAGCAAAGTTGGGTCATAACCCAAGATTTTAAGAGCACAAACAGCATTGCTCAATTTATCATCTAGAATATAAAGATGACACCACAATAGCTAGTTACAAAGAACTGTTAATCAGACAAGCAGCTAAGAGGTCTGTGGTAACTCTAATGCAAAGATCCACAGCTCAGTTAGAATAATCTGAACAGTAAACAACACAAATCGAATATTTGTAGTAGAGTGGCAAGATCAAAGCCAAAAGAATCTCATTGTAGAAGAGACCAAATTGTAACTTTTTGGTTGATATGTAAAATACTTATATGAGAAGGGAAAAAAAGTAATATCTGATACATGCTAAACTCTCCATTAAACATAGAGGTGTCAGCAACAGGCTTTAAGGTAGCAGGGACAGGAAGAGCAGCAGCAACAGACTTGAGCATGAGGCAGAGGTTTACGTTTTGGGAGATCGACCCCAAACATACAGGCAGAGCTGCCATATAGACCAGAGGCTATGCATGTCTACTTTGTGTTGATCTACTGTTCAAAATACAACTTGTCACTTGTAAGACAATAAAATGAGAAGAAAGTTAAATGGTTGTGAATTCTTTTGCACAGCACTGTATGTTGGTGACAAAAACTTAAAGATACCCCTTTGAATGTTATTAAATGTTTTTTTTTTTGTTGTAAATTTGATTTTGTTTAATGGAACAAACTAATTTGTCAAGTTTTATAAATGCATACATCTGTTTTTCTTATATGTTATAAAGCAAGCCATTCCCTTATAGGGTACCTTTAATATGAACAGACTAAAAATTAACAACCAATAGATATATCACCATTAACATTCAGTCTCAGAATGTAACACATATGAATGGATTCTGAACAAATTAACAAGTTAAAATAATTTATGCAGTCATTACACATGTGTCCACTCTATCCCTCAATAGCAGAGTGAGACCATATGAAGGACCAAATGAGGGGAAACTATCTTTATTTCATAAAAAAAAAAAAAAAAAAAAAGTAAAAGCAAAAGCACATTTTATGAGCCTAACATAAAGGTCAATAAGCCCTGGCAGTTGATTGACGGATTTAGACTACAAAGGACAAATAAATCAATTGCAACGGAAAACAAAAGGGATTACTGCATGTAATGTATCAGGAGTGATAACAGAGTAGAGGACTGTTGTGTTTTGGAGGATGAGACAAAAAGGTGGTTTGATATAAAGTACCTTTCACCCTGATGGCTTCTCCAGCTTGTGAGAAAGAGACAAATGCATCAGAGACAAAAGCAGGAGGAAAGACACACAACTAATTTCAACTAAAGAAGTCAAAGAAGCAGAAAAGTATATTATTGCTGCTGATTTCAAATACATCAATCTATTAACTTGGTTATAAATCTGTAGAACAGATTAGTAACATAATTGTAATTGTTCAGTTGCTGAAACTAACTCAATCTTGCACCAACCTGTGCAGCGGGGGCAGTCTCAGCCTTGGCAGCATCAGGTGGCAAAGCATGAGAAGATCGGGAGCGTGGTGGAGGCTTAGGAGAGGATAGGCCCTGCTGAAGCCCAGGAGACGCTGCAGCAGCTGGGGCTGCAGCAGGTGGGGTAGATGCAGCAGGCGCCGCTGCTTGTTGTGGTTGCAGAGGAGCGGGAAGTGAGGGCTGCATTGGTGGTGGCAGCTGCGACTGAGCAGATGGGGGCTGAGGCTGCATGGGTGATTGAGTCTGGGCTTTTGTCGTGGGAGGGGGTCCTGATGGTGGGGGACCTGAGTGAAGAAGTAAAACAGAGACAAAGCTCAAAATATCCACATTTTAAAGGTCGGACATACTGAATGGGAATTTCCTCTTCCTGAAATAATCTGCTGCAGCTTTAAAGCTTCAGTAGGCGACTTTTATAAAATAATGTTTTTTACATATTTGTTAAAGTGTTGTGACAGTTTAAATGAGAAAAAAAAGAATCTAACGTATTTTCTGAACTATAGAGCACACCCACCCCCCAAGTCTCCTCTGTAGGAGCTGAGTGTCCCACCATCTCTGTAGTTCTCTACATCTCTTCCCTCCTCAATATCAGTTTTGCTATGGTAGACCCCAATTAAAATTCACAACTTAAAACCTATTAAGAAAACGTTGGTTCAGGGAAACATGTTTTCTTACTGTATATATGACAAAAAACATTAATATAGCTGTTCATCGAAATGTTGACAGCAGAAGATACAAAGGCATGAAAATGTGCCATCGAGTGTCAGCCTGGAATATGTTTGGCCTTGAATATGAGATCACTCAGTTAACTTTTAGTTGGACATATAACCTTAAAAGAAAGTTTTTCAGTATTTTTAGCTCCATGAAAACATTTCTTTACCCAGGGGAAGGTCTGGTGGTTTAACTTGTGCACTGGGCACCGGTCGTGGGGCTCCGGGGTGAGTGTCTGGGATAGGCCGAGGGGCCCCAGGATGCACATCAGGAGTGGGCCTTGGTGCACCTGGGTGAGATGGAGGCTGCGGACGAGACTGAGGGGGCATGCTGATCACTCCAGCTCGAGGAGGAATATTCTGTAAGATGAAAATTGAGAGGATAATCATAGCAATAGAAAATGGATGAGAGTAAATGTTTTGTGAATGCTACAAGCTGAGTAGCTGAACTGAAAAAGTTATTTCATAGCTGAAGAAGAAGCAGAGCAATGTTGACAATGTAATTGTCAATAGTGGAAACAAAAGTTGTAATTTATGAATTTTTTTTAAACATGATTCAAATAATAAAAAAAGAATATTTTAGATCTAAATACTGGTTGAAAACTCACTGGTCTGGAAGCTCCTCCAGGGGCTGGAGCTCCTGCCTGACCTCGACCTGAGAACATTAACACAGACAAAACAATAATTAAGCACACATTTCAAGCAATATTTAGTTTTGGTCCTATTTTAGAGATCTGTATGGAAAACCAAATGCAATAAGATTTTTTATTACTTTGATATGAAGATTAATCAAATGAAAACAATAAGAAATCACAATTTATCCAGCACAGGCTATTCTATGGATGACTTCTTTATCAAAGATGGCTCAGTCCTTCCACAGCTCCAGGAGGTCTGGCAGACACACAGGCCTTTTTATTTGTAACCCAACCACTCACCACACTGTAAGGATTCTCCTCTTCTTTCACTATTCTCTTACCGAGACCCTCCGAAAGCCTTCAAACATTTTCCCACACCACTTAAATGTCTTCTTCTGTCCTGTCGAGTCACCAATCGTAAGTCAACCCTGCCAACCACACAACCTCTTACTATGCAAGAGGGAATCTGCTAACCACAAACACCACACAAATGTCTCAGGTGCAGACAGGCAAAGTCGACGATTGGGTAGACATCCAAACTTTATCCTCCACCTCAGGACAAGCACATGTGTCTCAGAACACAAGCATACAAAACAGGATTATAGAGGAAGGTATAATCTCACCACATTATCAAAAGTACAAATAAATGTCACACAAAGAGATGGTCATGGAACACAGACACCCTTATATAAGATAAATCTGTATCCTCGCTGTATACATCCATGCTAATGCAGCTACGTCATGCATAGCGGCACTCACCTGCAGGAGCATCTGGCCGAGGAAGAGCAGGACTCTTTGGTCCTTTGCAGCATAAAGCAAACCAAATTACACTAAAGTTACACACAAACCAGCTAGCTAGTCACCAGAAGCAGGTGTTCAGAAGAAAAAAAAATAGCTAGAAGCACTTAAAAAAAAAAAGCGTGATGGAAATATTGTAGCAAAGCAGTGAAGCTTGAGAAGATGAAAGCTGAATACTGTGTCTGAGGAGAACTTTCCCACTTCCCAACATGAAAAACAATCTCAAAGATAAACCCACTTTATCCCTTCAGATACGCATACACTGGTCTCTATGAAAAATAGTACATTTTTTCCACAGTAATGAATTTATGTTCATTTTGAATATGTATTATATTATTTTATGGTATATTAAATAATATTATTTTAGATTTCAATCAAAATGTTCTACATAAAATGTTACTTTTTGGCCATATTATACCATATACTATAATGGGCAAGACTAATGACTAAGCCACAAAAGGTCATTATGAAAGAGACCTTTAAATGGGTTTGCATTGCACAATTGCTGAGTATTAAAAAGAAGACAATGAATTGTGCTTGAAGGAAAGAAGACAGGCTTCTTTCATTGATTTTGTTTCTGTGGTGGTTTACATTTCTTGCATTTAGTAACAGATTAATTACATCTCAATCACACCTACAAACAAGACTAAAATGAACCACAATAAAGTAGGGGTGTAAACATCAATCCACACTGATACATCAATTAAAAGATTAGACTAATGATCCAATTATATAAAGCAAATAGAAATACCAATCTACATTGTCATCTTTAAGATGATACAGGGTGATTAATTTACATTTGAGATTGAGCTCAAATTTTTTGAGACACTAAAATGAATGAAAGTTTAAAATCTGCTTTCTTCCATATCAAAAGTGACTTTTTAAAATGTTGCTATGTATTATGTTTGTTTTCTTTAAGACTAAAAGGCCATCAGGGCCATTTAAGAAAAAATGCACTTAAACATGAGAAATGTGAGACAATGCTTTTTTTTAATTGAAATTGTTGGTGTCTGAAATCACTTAGAAATAAAGTGATCAAATCATGTTAAGCAGTTTTTTTCAAAAGCTACTAATTATGAAATGGTTCTGTTAGATGGTCATATATTGCATCTTATTGAAATCATATCATGACAAACTTTGTGATATTGAGTAACATTGTACTGTCATCCAAACAAATTGATGCATTATCGTATTGTGGTAAACTTTTGATTTACACCCCTACAATAAAGCAGTGAAAGTTAACACAAACCATCAATGTCAAAATAGCCTCAGTGACATTGATGAGTGCTGGGTCTAAGACCGAAGGAATTAGGCAACATTCAAAAACTCCTGGCTCGTTACCTTCACTGCCTCTCCTACCAAGCAGTGGGCTGGGACATTTGCCACTGTCTTAGAGAGGAAAACAAATGTTTTTTTCTTTAAAACAAAGTAGAACAGAAAAATGCTAAATATCAACAGATAAAAGTAAAGATTAGTCACAGTGTTCAGGTGAAACCTATATTCTAATTCCCAAATTCACTGTCATGTAAAACTAAACTAAAGTACAGGATCATTTTTCACCTAAAGGATGGATTTTAGGACCTACAAAAACACCTCACAAGTATATTACTAACAAATTACACCATATTTTAAAGAACACAAAAACAAAATTACAAGGGGGAAGTAATCAAACGTTTAAAATACCATGCTAATGCGTCACATCAGCAGTTGGATTCTATCTCTATTCAGACAAAAGATGCAAAACCTTCTTCTTAAAAACAGTGGGACCAGTTTTTTTGTCTTGGACATTACACTGAATCAACACTTACTGACTGCTGTGCATAGCTCTAATGGAAAACAGCAAGAACCAGCATAAAGTAAATCAGCCACAGAAGTATATCAAGACATCATCTGGTCACTTTAACTTTACCTCCAGAGTCCTTTCTAACAGGCTGAGGGCTCATGCCGCCTTCACGGATTTGGCAAAGCAGTGGGATAAGAATGACAAGTTACTATCTCTTCTGTAGAGAATCATAATTAAAAGTGATTTTTTTTTCCCACAGCAGGATTTTATTTAGTTGTCCCCACTTAAGCTGAGCTAACTCTATATCATACTCTATATCATTCTAATATAGAGAAGGCTTATGGGGTGATACCTGAAGGTGGTGGTGGGCGTTGAGGTGGAGCTGGTCTGGCTGGAGGAGCATTGGGCCGAGGTGGAGGAGGCCGTTTGGGCTCCAGGCCTGGACCTGTGGGAGCACCAGGCTGGAAGTCTACAGGAGGCCCTTAAAGGAAAAGATGCAGAAAGGCTTGTTGTATTAAATATATTGTGGCAGTTTAACTGCTAAATGAATACGGCATAGAGTCATGCCCGTAACTGCTCAGTTTATTTGACATATTTCTGACAATTTCATGAAACCCATTTGTGAAAACACACACAACTAAAAGCTCTACAACAACAACAACAACAACAAAGATCTACACCAAACGGGTCTTCTTTTAAGACCCCTTTGGTGTCAAACGCAACCCACACTTCATAAGAACAAAACACGAAGAAACACTATGTTCACTGAAAAGGTGAGTATGCCCTGTGCTCCATGTCAAACAGGAGTCCTAGCTGGGAGTACACGCTGCTCCAAATTGCATAGACTAGCTGGCTGCTGAAACCAGAAGAAGTTGTTAAGCTTTCATGTAGCAGTTTAAATGGAAACCATGTTCATAACTTTGAAAGAGTAGTCCTGGCATTGCATTTACTTATGAGGACATAAGACGAGGACAATGAGTAAAAAAAGTGAGGTAAAAGGAAAAAAACAATTCTTTAGGTTAATAAAACAACATTACAATAAACAACCTTTCATGCTGCAGATGATCTGATCAAGTATTGAGGGTGTTTGGTTCTCCGAAGTAAAGATTATAGGCCAATCCTAATCCAGGGTAAAGGGGTCTTACGCAGATGTCATATAAAACATGGCACAATCCTGAAACACCTCATAGAAACACCTTGTGGAATGTGTCCATTTTTTGGCTTACAGTTTCACATTCTAATTTGCAAAATGTATACAGCGCACATCAACATCACACCCCAAAATCTGCCTCAGAAGGAAACACTATTCTAAAACAAACAAGTGGAAACCAACACAGATTGCATCATCACTCATTTAATTACCTGCTGTTTCTCTCCTCTGTGATGTAGGGCTTAAATCTGCTTCCACTTATTACAAACACAATGAAATCACAGTTTACATTCCAGCCGATGGAGACAACTAGCTGTGCAGATGATTTGAGGAGCATGACTGTAGTTGACTAATTTATTTATGCTGTGTGATGTCATTACCTTGTGATGGTCGAGGGGGTTGTTGTCCACGACTTGGTCTACTGGGAGCAGCGGGTTCTCCATGAGTAGGAGAGGGACAGGGACTACCGCGTGGGGACGGCAGAGGTGAGGATCCAAGAGAAGAGCCTACACCAGGCTGCAGGTGCTGGGGAAGAATGTCTTCCACCTCATCATCCACATCACCTGGAGCCGCAGTCAAAGAACGGTTAGAACATTCCTACAAACCTTAACATAGATAAGTACAATTTCATGACAACTCCTGACCTTCCATATCATAATCTTCATCACCCACGTCTACGTCTTCAGCAAGCAAGGTTGAACTCGCTGAAGTGGGAATGCTGCCGCAGATCCTTTCCACACTCATTTCCTCCTCCAGACTCTTGATCCACCCTGGACTCCTCAGGCGGATGTCAATCACCTTGTCCAGGACCTGCAATACATACCAGCAAGGTAAGCAGAAAAAGGCTGAGAGGTTCCTATGAAACTATCCAAAGTAGATCATTCCAACAAATTAGAATAGGAGCCAACTTACAGTGGAACCACTGAGAGAGAGTGCAGCCAGAGCAGAATAACCTTCCAAGAAGGTTACCCACATTTTCTCTTCAACAAACCTGCATGAAAAATTGCACAATTAATCGAGAATAAGAGGCTGAAGGTGGAACACACCCGGATCTCTGTGCTTGCATGTTAGCCTCACCTGATGAGGATGACTTCTCCAAAATTAGCAAACTTATCAAGTAGTTCATCAATGAGTTCATCACTAAAATAGTCATCAGGCCCCGAGGAGCAGAGGGACACCAAGATGGTGCCATCTGGAGGCCCCTGCAGGGCAATAACTTCTTTGTAGACCTGATGTCGTTCCTCAGGATCCACCTCCAGGATGTCTACATCTATTATTGCTACCACAGGCCTTAAAAGAAATATCACAAAACATGGAAGAGACATGAATTACTGGTATTATTAAGCTTTAAGTAATCATCTTGGATCACAGAGATATCATGATGGTTACCTGTGATCTGAGGTCTTGAGCTCAGCCCTGCCATAGTACTTTAAAATCCCAGGGCTCCAGGCCTGTTCTGGATTATCCTCAGCATCTCCAGATGTAGAGGCTGCTCCTACAACGTTCATCTCCTCAGCTATAAAACAACCACAGAGTAAGAAAATACAAAACAAAACAACAACAAAAACAAACAAATGACTAAATGCAATTCTTCAGAAGTTTTCATATTTGTTTATAAATTAACAAAACAATAAGGCATAACTGCATTGTTATTGGTCAAAAGGTTACAAGGATTAGGTTTAAGATGCCCTGCATATCACCTGTTCTGTTAAAGTTCCACTTTCTCCTTTTCCAAAGTATGCGGTCAGTCCATGCAGGTGTACGGCACTTCTCGCTTGTGTCATAATCTTCTGAAAAGAGGTCATACTTGTAGGTGGGGGCAAAATCCAGGTTTCCCTCAATGAAACCTCGGAAAACCTGCAAAGATATATGAAGGTTACTGTCAACGAATTCAGTAATCAATTAATCGTTAACTGGCATATACAGAGTAAAAAAAGGCCATTTGCTGAAAGAAGTACATACTCAGACAGTGATGAAGGCAAAACTTTACAAAACAATTACAAGTTTTCATTTAAGATAAAATGTAAAATGTGTTAAGATGTTCAAGATGCATAGTATAAACTTCAAGTGGTTAAAATTCTCATATTAAGCACATTTGGCTATCCAATTATCAATTTGTTAATCCAAATAATAAACAGATCAACCCAACATTGTACTGATGTTAAATCAAGGAGAAAGGACTGAGATTTTCACAGGTTAAGGCTAGAAATATTTTTGTAGTTGTAGATTAATTCTTTGCTACAAATGGCCAAGTATACAGTAAAAAATGCAATGTTATTGTTTTTAAGATAATAAATTAAGTAAAATGAAATTGAATTGTTTAATTTTTGCATATTTTTATGTATTTCTCTTTGGTGTTGAAAAATCTGCAAAATGTGTTCATTTCCCTTTTTAGCCGACTGATCCTCAGGATAATTGATGAAATTATTTATCATTAAGGAAGACACGTTACGGAATCAGTTCGCATAATCCAAGAAAACTGCAATAGCTGCCCCCATTTATTTAAGAAAATGTGCTTGAGGAAAAAAATAAACTTTTAAACTCTTAATACGGTGCAGAACTTGCATAGAAAATCTATTCTGAATCAGTCTTAATACACCAGCATATAGTGACAAATGATAATGCAGTGAAGATGTGTTTTACAAATTATACCATTCCTGTGTTCTTCTGTTCCAACAACTGATCACCAGCTGTTAAAGCATCCCAGTTCTGCTGCTTGATGAGCTCCTTCACTTCTTCGTTGGGCAGGTTGATTCGGTAGTTAAAGTCTCCGCACCAGAACACGTAATCGTGTGAATACAGCAGACGACCCTGCAGCAGAGGATAAATGTTACCTCAAATGCAGTTGAATCAAAATACAATATTTGTGACTAGAACTGCCATTACCATCGGGAAACTGAGTCTGCGAGTGATCTCATTGTAGTCGTCATTCCTCTCTTTGACCTGAGACTGGCCAGCAGCAAAGTGGGAGCAGACGAAGCAGATGCTGGTGGTGTGGAACAGCAGGCGGATGGCGACACCTCCCTTATTACCGGTGGCCCCGCCCATTCCGGTTTTCACTGTATCTACAGCAACATCTCTGTAACAAAAAGAATTGAAAACTCATAAGAATTTTCTTACAGTTAGTCACCAAGTGTTTCTGATCAGAATGTGCACTATTTTTACCTGATGAAGGGTGCATGCTGAGGACGAATGAAAACAAACAGGCACACTCCCACCAGCTGCTCAGAAGCAAGCAGCACATACTTGTGGTCCCTTGAAATGTTTTTTTGGAGCTCAGCAGCCCACAGTTTCTGGTTAGTAGTGCTGAGACAAAGAAGAGATGAAGAGCACTAACATTAAAACAAGAAAATCAATTCAATTTTACTGTTACCTTTGTAGAAATTTACAAAATCCTTAGCCTCAATTTTTAAATATCTGACTTGAGTTGAATTTGCAAGTATACATTGCTCTGCAAAGGGTTAGTACCTTTTAAACTTAGCATATAAGTAGTCTTAGCACCAAGTGTTTGTAGAACTTTTAAATTTTGTAATGTTACAATTTCAGACAAGAAATGTGCTGTACTCTAAAGAGATGGTATGTGATAGATCACAAAGTAATTGCAGAGCTGTTACAGACACCCAAAAAGACTTGTAGCTGAGGCTGCAGCAAAACGTGATTCTACAAATAATTGAGAAAAGAGTAGAACCAGCTGCTGCAGACACGGCTGCAAAATGTTTCAAGGTGTGTCTAACAGTAACATACTGAAATATCCATTGTACATTTCAATACATTACAGTTGAAATGTATTGAGTCCAATAGGTTATGGACTGGCAGAATCTTAAACACATACCTGGCACTGACAATGTTCCCAGCATTCAGTTCAACCATTTCTTCAAAGCCGATGGCAAATATATCTATGGGGTTGGCTTTGCTGTCTGTCAAGAAACAAAAGTAAATGTTTGTCTTCAGTGAATGTGTTTGCTTAAGACATTCACTGAACCCTTTAACAGTTAAAGGGGAATGATCTTATAAACAAAGTTTGTGCTAAACACAACAGACATTTACTGAAAACAGATCAGCTGTGATCTTTGTCAATTTATTACAATTTCATCAATTGTCTCTTTCTAATAATCAGATTTTTCTTAAACTTAACCATTTCTGTACTGACTTATAAACTAAAAAGGAGGGATTGATTGATTTGCTTACTGGATCTCCAATGTCCACTTTCTGATTTAATATCTAGTGCACACACTTCTTTATTTAATAATAACATTTAAATACTTACAGCACCTATTTCAACCAAACAAATAGACACATACTCAAGGGGTCATTACCAAGTAATGACTGTGGACAAATTAAAAGAAACATACCCTGGAACTCAGGATGTCCTGCCTTTTTTGGAGCATCCAGCAGCCAGTCGTTCAGTGTCTGGTTGCGAAATGCGATGCTGCGAAACTGCTTGCCCCCGTTGACGTTCCAGGTGCCGACACAGACCCGGATTTGCTTGGGCTTTGTGTATTTGTGGTGATTCTGACACATTCCAAGCAACACTCTTGGAGAGGCTGCAAAGGAAAGAATGTGCAGATTAGATGCCAAAACATGGAAAGATGCACGCCAGAAAGGAGGTTTGGGTGGAAGATGAAACAAAGAAGAGGAAAATACTGATGAAAAAAGGGATTATAATCAAAAAACAACAAAGGAAATTCACTAGAATGTTTAAAAACAAAGGTTATGGGAGAATGACTTTAGCTGTGACCATTTCACTGATAACATTCACAATGTAAAGCTTGGTAGTGGTTTATAGCTGTCTGCAAATACCTACTGAAAACATATGCTGAAACATCTTAGTTTAATCATTGCTGTAACTATCTGATAAAACAGACAGTGGAATAAACCACAACCAATAGTGAATAATAATAATAATAATAGTAATAATAAAAAAACAACTATATGACAAGGCAGGAAAACATATCTGTTGCTTGCAGTCTATAAGTTACTATACCTGATTGCAAGACAGGCTCAGTGACTAAGATTGTTTGCAAGTGGGAGAGAAGGAAGAAAGTTGTAGGTTAGCATCTTTTCAACAGATAATAGCAAGTAAATATTAAATCAGCCGAGCCAGGGCTCCTTTCAAAATTCACAAGGTTTCTTTAGGGCTGCTGAAAAGCCTATGTCTCCATCACAACCATTAAACATTGTCTCAATAACAATTAGTTGGTATGAAAAAAAATAGTAAAATATTTTATTCAACAATGTTTAAAATACATGACTCAAACAATGCAGAAATTACTCACTGCAACTGAGTTTAAAAAGAGGAATTGTGCAAAGATGATTTTTTTTTTAAGAATTTATGCCTCTGATTCAACCATTTGAATTGTTATAAGGTATGACTAAGTGTTGCGCTATTGGCAAAAGAGGGACATTCAAAACATTAACAGCTGGGACACCAATAAGTGGCACCAGTGACAATGCCAGATTTTTTCATCACTGAATTAATGTCCTCAAGTGAGATTATTTAACAAAGATCAAGACAAATTTATTTTAAGGCTTTTTATTAAGCTAGCCAGATGAGCCAACAAATGTGGAGGACAATGTAAGAAAAAGTTAAAAGAAGGGGATAATAATTTCATTGTATTCTTTCATTGCATTGGTTTTTGTGTCTAACATTGCTCAAAATGTTTTTTTATGTTTGAAAGGTTTAATCAAAATGCAGCTCATTGTTTCCACAAATGTTTCACCAAATAATAAGGGACTTAAATCATGCAGAAAATTACCGTAAAGACTGGAAGTGGTGAGCAAAGCTCGAGCTTTGTCTGCTAAATCACTGTTAAGCGTGGATCCCAGCCTCAAGATGTCTATCGCCTCCTGCTTGGAGCTGTCGAAGAAGTTATTCTGAATGGTCCGTGTCACAGAGCGAGCGCCATCTTTGAGCTTTCCAGCCTGCAAGCCAAGAAATATATATACATATATATTTATATTTAGCATCCAATCAGTTAAAAAGGCACACACAAGAAGTTAAAAAATGACATTTTCGCCACTGCAGGATGGAAAAAAAAAGACAAGAAGGAACATTTTAGAGAGATCTGTCAGATTTGAAGCTCATAGTAATGAATTTCAATTATCTTCTGAAGAAGTTAGAGATTTCATTAATGGCCATTAGGTGGAAATCTGGACAGATTTCTCTAAATTCCAAGAAAGATTTTGCATTTTGATGGAAGAAATAAGTATAAATGTAATTGCTACAAGTAAACGAAAATAAAGTAGTTTTTTCCCCTCTTTGTTTCTCTTACTTTTGAATTTCTGTTCACAGTGAAATTCCAGGAAAGTTCAATGAGAGCATATATTTTCATAAGGATAATCAAAGGGAAGTAAACAAGATTTGTCACCTGTCCCAAACTCCATTCTCATTTATGTGAAACCATCAGACTGATATGTACAAGACACCAGAAATAGACCCATAGCTTAAAAATATCTATCATCCTAATGACTTACCATACAGGTGGAGAGGTCCACAGGTTAGCCAAAAGACATAATGCACATAATTAAAAAGGGTACAATCTCTACACAGAGGATTAAATATTGATGCAATCATTACCTTGCATTCTTACAGAAAATTGCAGTTTATGAATTAGTGTCTAAAAGGTGATGGCTGAATATATTTAAAGCAATCAAGAAATCATTGATATCCTAATTGTGTTCATGCAAGACAGTCAATTCACTGTTTAGAATCTAAACTTTAGTCGGGTAAAGAGCCATAGGTTCAACATAAAGCCCTGATCAAGGAGGGTATAAAAGATAAAAAACAAGATATATATATTTTTTGTCACTTTCAATGTGTGTGCATTTATCAGATGTATTCAGTCTTGAAAATTGTACAATATTTTTTTTCAATGATTCTTCAGAATCTTTAAAATGGTGTTAAAATCCTGGATAACATCATTTGGAGTCACATGTTATTAGCCTGCAAAAACTACTTGAGTGGTAATGCTACATCACACATAGAGTATAATCTATGGAAGCGGATTACCTTTGGACTCCATAAAACACGGAGTTGCTAACCTGCATTATAAATTACCTAAATAATTGAAAACTTCTCGTTATTCCCAAGTATTAAATTACTTCATTACACACCTTGGCCTTCCCATCCAGGGCTCCGGTTCCTGCATAAATCTTACTGACGGAGTCCCCGTTGGCAGACCACATGGTCCTGAAAACCTCCTGGAACCGGGCCACCAGCTGTGGTTTCTCTGTCAGACCCATTTGCTCTAACTGTCTGGGCAGCATCTGAAGGAGGCAAAGGCAATTTGAATAAAAGACAAATCTATAATATCTTTCAATATCAGGCATCAATGTACACCAAGCTGGACACAAACCTCAAGTGCAAAGAAGGCTTGAACACTGTTTGTTCTATCCAAACAGTCCAGGCAGTTACTCCTGATGGTCCCTCCCTGAGTCCTGAAAAAAAGCCTGATTTATTCAACTGCAAAATACAATAACATAACGTTTGATGGAACTCGACTTATCAATATTGTAGTTCCTTTCAGTTCTTTGAACTTGCAAGTCATGAGAGAATGAATGTCTAATGCTATAGATTTCAACTTATATATTAAATGCCTCCCAATCAAACCTATGACACTTAAATTTCCCACTTTCATAACTGGAAAAACCTGAAGTACTTACAGAATGTCCATATCAATACAAAGATAAAATTGAGCACAGGTGGAGTCTATATGCTGATTAGGTGCTTTCTGATGGGAATTGTATCAGAGTAAAGAGGGCCAATGAAAAATGGACATTTTCCATTCCAAAATAAATCCGAAAAGTCAAGAAAATATGATTTATGTTCTTTCAGAGATATGCACCACTTGACTTTGTTTATAAAATAAAGTTGAACATTGTCTTTGTACTATGACTAGAAAGCATTCAAGTACTTTTGGAGAGTTCTGGAAAATGTGTTTTTGACAGTTTTACTGAAGGCCCATTGAGGTTATTGATCATTAGATAATAAATGTTTCAGCTGCTGGATAACACAGCAATAACATCCATGGGTCATGAGCTCAAAGGTGCCCTCTAGTGGATGGTCTGCAAACAATTGGGTAGAGTCAAGGAACAGTGTTGACATTAAGTAGCAAATAGTATGTTCCAACAAGATGATATCTATGTCTATTAAATAATATTTGTAAAAATTTTAGCCAAATTAATCAAAAGAATAAAAGGTTAAAGGTGACTTGGCGAAGAGACATGAGGAGGTATTATACAAAAAAAGGGTGGACGTAATCTTAAAGAGCAGAAGTGACAAGCAAAGCTAAGCTATGCAACCTTTAAGTAACCCTGATCACAGAGTTTCAAAAGAGGAGTTTTGTAAACTCAGAGCTCCAAAGAGGGAAACAAATAATTTTTTAGATACCAATAGAGACAACTGACAAGATGGGGAATGTGTGTGCATGTCAATTGCTGTTGCAAAAATACCTGTTATACTGGTACTTCAACTGTACGAAATGAATCAGGAAGAGATACAAATCTGTACAATAAGAAAGAACTTTCTTACCTTACAATGCCTTTTTCCCCAGAGTAGTAGAAGAACCCACACTCATCTACGAATTTATTCAGCTGTGGTTTCAGAACACTGCTGAGTTTATCAGTCTTGCCACCTCGCACATTTTGATGATAGTCAAAGTTAACCATTTTCACTGCTGTGGCATGTTCTGAAGCCTTCAGGTGACTCTGAGGGAGAGAAAAGGGAAGAGAAGATATTTGTTAATATTTAAATATAATCCAAAGATTTATAATGTGCAGTTGCATGGCTTGTAAATTCATTCAAATGTTTTTTGATCCACAGGAAAGCTTGGACAGCAATGTGTTTTATAAAACGGCTCAAGCTCATTTCGAACTTGTAATACTGTCACATTTGCTTCTTATTTTGAAAATGTTGAAAATCTTCAAGTTTTTTTAAACTTTTACTTTTCCCTTTGCTAACTGACTGGGCAAAAACCCAGCAGGAAGTGACACATTCTGTATTGAGCAAAATCCCGCGCTCTGCAGAAGCAGGAAGAATTCAAGCAAGCTTTCACAAGCAATAAGTAATAAGGCCTCTTATGACACATCTTCAACTGTTTCACTGAAATCCTGTGTTATTGTCTGCATTATAGAAATCATTTAGTAAAAAAAACAAGACAGTAAAATCTCACCTGAAATGCTTTGCTGAGCATATGTTCCCCTTCTTTGCTTCCAAGCAAGTTGATGATAACCTGCTTGCCATACAACATTCTCAGTGCAGTAAAGTGTCTGCAAAACAGATTCAGGCATAGCGCATTTATCAAGTTCAAGTCGTTACAAGTTTGATAGCAATAATCATAGCTACCTTTAATTAAATGCACTGTTGCAAGGTTTTAGGTTAATTTGAACATGACACAACAGTAAAACATTGAATAATACCAATAAATATAATTACATTTAAAACTGCAAATATGATAACTGTTCAAAAAGCTACCAGATCAAGACACTTTTCAGTGTCTGACTTGCTAGTCAAGTAGCCAGCCATATTCTTTATCATTGAGGTGTTAAAATGATGCAATAAACAAATTAAAAGAGGTAAAAAGAAAAATGAGTTAACATCTGCATCACAAAAACAGAATATTGGAAGTTGCCCATATTTCTCATTACTTAATCTGTAATTAATGGCAGTATGTATATGCTACCTTTGTAGAATCAAGTAAATTGTGGAAAAGCACAGCAAAAATCTCACCATATAATAAAATGAATAAATTTGAAATAGACAACTGCAAGAAGGAGACAAACTGGGTACAAAAAGCAGAGGAGGTTTGATTTAACGTTTGTTTTTAGTAAATTTCTATCAACATGATAGCAATACTGGAAGTCCATCCAAAGGAAACCAAAAAAATGTGGAAAATAAAATGATCAACATTTGTCTTCCAAACTTTCTAACTGAAGGCTATCGTAAATTGAACAGACATGGGAACAGCTACAAAAGTGGCTGCTGTGGTTTGATAAGGAGGGGTCCAGTACTATTTGGGTGTGGTACAGATTGTAAACCAGAAAAATATGGTTCACACTCCAGTCACAAAACAACCGAAGTACAAGCAGTAAGTGCATTTATCACCATCATATCTCTGAAGTATACTGGAAAGGACATGAATACCCAGTCATGTAAAGTCGGAAAAGGAGTCTTTTTTTATGTAGAGATAATATTTAAAGCAAAATGTTCTTTGATTGTCAGTACTTGTCTCAAAACCAAAAAAATGTAATTGTATGACAAAAGAATACATTTAGAAAAGTAACGGGGGTATTAATTTCAGACACAACTAAAGGAGATTTTTTTTATATGTGACGGAAAACCCTAAGGGGTTCCGCACAGAAACCATGTCTTTGACATCTACACTTAGATCGGAAAATTAAAAAAATGTGTATTAGCTAATAGATAGTAGAAAATGAGGGTTATGTCGTAACAACTGAGCTGTCCAATTTCAGAAATGGAACTCTCCCAAATGCAAATGTTACTCTGTCACTTGAAGACAGAGCAGCATATATAGGGACAAATATTAGACTGAATCAAAAGCATCTCCCATGATGTTTAACAATGTTCATGTTACCTCAAAAATACTGTATATTTGGTAGGACATTGTTGATGAAGAGCTATTAATGTGTCCTTGATGTTCCCAGTAACAATATTAGTGTTTCAGTCTTAATCCTCTCCTGTTTTCAAGCTTTTGCTACTCTTAACCAGGTGACAAAGAGATTTTCAGAAGGCTATCAATCAGCTGCAATCTAGTAGAACAGAAGAGAAGAAGTGAAGCTGAAGCCACTCATAAAACCTTTAACCTTTTAATTACCTTTCAAAAGCTGGTGCATTTGCCTCAAATCCCCTTGAGAGTTTGACACGATGGGACCCCACCTGCAAAGACACAATCCACAGGGTCCTACTTTGGTAAAGTATAAAATAATACTAAAAAAAAAACCCAAAAAGATAGAGTACACATTGCGTGGATGCCCAGAAAACCTGAGAAAGTGAAACAGACATGTGTGCACTTGAAATAGACAGATGAGGCATTGATTCATTTTAAAACAGAGAGAGAATGGAGTGGAACAAGAGCAACACAGAGACAGAATGGAGGAAATTTGTTCACATAGACAAAGACACTGAGCAACAGATGAATCTCGTCATCTCTCCGACACCTTTCTTCTCCAGATTTCAACTCTGTTATTCCACTAAAAAATCTAATACAAGCTTTGGCACAGAATCAGGGAAGTAAACTTGGATACGCATGACTACTCCCACTCAGGCTTAGTGAGAAGTGAATAAATCTAGCACTGAGGCTGCAACAAGAAATCTGTTCCTCATTGTCATGTTGATGTTCCGTTTTAAAAAGATTTGCCAACAGAAAAGCATTTCCTACTTTCACTTGACTTCTATTTGTGATCAGTTTGTAGGGTGATGGCTAGAGAAAGTTTTTAATGTTTTCTGATTTGCTTGCATAGACCTGTTTTGACAGGGCCTACATAAACTATTCTGGGGGTAAACTGTACTGTGGCCATTGTGACTTCTTTTCTTTCTCCTCAGTCATGCAGGTCCAACCTCTGCATTTTTAATAACTTCTTGAGATGACATCTGAAACTACTCAGGTTGCAGTGGGACAGCTTAGACTAAAACACAGTCAGTGTGTACCAGAGCACCGTAGTAGACCGGTCAAGAACAATAAAATCAACATTTTCAAGTATTATTTCTATACATGATCTAATAACTTTTTGGTATTTATTGTTAAAGGACATCTTTCAAGGTATGAGTCATTTCGCTTCAGAGAATATATACAGGTGCAGCTCAGTTAATTACAAAGTAATTGAAAATTTTAATTCCATAGAATGTAGAATTATTGCAAATAGGATGACTATTTAGGATCTTAACAAATTAATATTAAATAAAAAAAAGCATTTTAAAAAACTGGAAATGTTCTGTTATAGTCAACACGATCATGGGAAAGACTTCAGTTACCCACAGGCAGGTACCCGTCTACATAGATGTCAAACTGCAAAATGTTAACACCCCTTAACTGTCATGAGGACAACGAAGTCCTTATGAACCCATTTACTCACCAGTAAGTGCTTTGGGGGTGACAGTTAAGGGGTTTCAAAGCTGTTAACTGTTCACAAAGTACAGTATCCTTCCATATTAGTAGAAAGTTGAGTGGAAGGAAAAAGTGTTGTAGAAAAAGTATACCTGCAGCATTTAAATTTTTTTTTGCCCAGAAAAATAAGAAAGAACACAAGTACTTCTACACTGTGGCTGATTGACCAGCAAAACCAACCTAAACCAAACAATAAAGAATCTGTGATGTATTGTAAGATAAAAGGCATGAGATCTAACACTGTAGATAAATTCAAGGTGATTATTAAAGGTGCCCGGGCTTTAACAACTTAGCACCACAAGCTGATTGTCTTTAACACTGTTGATGCAATAATTCAAGCAACAGGAGCATTTCACTGAACCACCATTGCTAGGTTATAATCCAGGTTTCATAATATATAAACCAGTACCATCCAAAACTCAAATAAATGCTTAAAGATACTTTTTGACAATGTTCTAATTTACTCAGATGCACCTGTAAATAGCTCTTTTCAAAAATGGGTAAATAAAACACTAAATGACTTTCATTTTCTACCACTGACTATTTGTCTCAGCAGGTGTTCTTTGTATTGCACTTGTGCTAATTATATATAGGCTCATTTGCATTTTTAAAAATTATTCTAGGGGTACACATATTTGGAGAAAAACTTCTCTTTTTAATGCAACTAATATAACACGTCCTGCTCAGGAAGTATTTGAGAATATGGAGAGGAGAGCCTACAAGCCACAACTGGTAGAAGGGGACTGAGAGCTAAAAAGGTGCGTCAAAGCAGGAGAACTACACTTGCGTCTGAAAACAACCCCAAGCCCACTAATCTGTGTTTTGAGAAAACTAAAGACCTACTGGCCTGAATAGATGGCTAATATGCTCTTGGCGTCATGTAGGTCTTTAGGAGATTATTGTTGTTAGAGGTTAAAATGTATCCAGCTGCTTTGGGAATATTATAGTAAATCAAACAAAGTGGTTAGGGGATGTTTTCAGAACAGGCTCTCTCACCTGACCCAAGAAGTCTGGGAGCTGAGGAAACAGAAAAAAAGCCCTTTACCAACCACTATTACTGTCATTAGCCTCCCCGACATCTAAATTACCAGTCTGTGCAATGTCAGAACAGGAGCAGGCAAACTCAAGTGATGTTGCGTCAGCTGTGAGCACACAATGAGAATATCAGATGTAATCAAAATGGCTTTTCCTGGACAGGTGCAGGGTAGACTAAAAAAATTATTATGTACCGTAACTTCTCATTTTGTTTTACACCAATGAAGTCTGGCAATGCACAGAGGATTAACTTATCTGCAGTAATAAAGCAGCAGCAACAGCAGCAGAGCTCCAAACCCCACCCACCACCCCAAAAATGTAAATAAATAGAGATGGGAGGGGGAAAAAAAACAAAAGGAAAAGGTTATACCAGGTGGGGGTTTTCATCCAGTCCATTAGGGTGTCGATTCTCATTGAGGTGCAACAAAACACCCTTAATGGACTTTTTCTGAATAAAGCGACAAAAAGGGGTTAAAACTGGTATACTGTTAAAACAAGATGAGCTTTATTTTCCTTTTATGTTGTGATAACCTTCTGGTGCTTGTCATTTTGCTCCCTTTACCATAAAATGAAGCTTTAGTTTTGGTTGCTTCATGGCGGATGTCATTAGGTATGAAATTAAGCTTTGAGTCCATTCTTACCTGTCAGAGATATTGTTTCAGTTTTAAGAGACCATAATTTAAAGAAGTTCTCTATATCTATATCTATTATCTATAATTACTCAACTATAAGAAAATGTTGTTTCATGGGTTTATTGAATAATCTCAACTCACAGAGACTGTTATATTGGATTGATCTGGGTGTGATAATGTGTCAAATATTATAAGAGTGAAGAGGCCCAAACTGGGGTCAGAAGAAATTAGATGCTATAGAAAAGCTTTTTTTAAATGAAAAAAATTAAATTACATAATGTTATTTCTTCAAAATGTATTAAAATACTCAACTACAAAAGATGATAAACTGGTATGCAATTATTTAAGTTAATTGCTATGAACATATGAAGATAACATATGAAATGGAAGAAGAAAGGTATGAAGTTGCAAAGAGGAGGTACGAAGAGGCCAACTAACCAATCAACATAGCAAACATACACTGCCACAGCAAACAATCCTAACTGAGTCCTACTTATGACTTACGACAGTATCCAAAAAATGGAGAAAACTTTAATCATCAAAAATGTTTTAGAATTTGAATAAATGCCTTACATTACATCAATATTTCAGCATTTGATACCATCAGTACCTGGATTCCTGGCTGTTCCCAGAAAAGAGGAATGGACCCTCGGATCTGGATGAATGATGAGACTTTATCATCTAAGAAGATAGCCTTTGAAGGAAAGAAAGAGAGAAATCCTTAGACTTTTTATGAATTAATATAATTACACAATTAAAACCACCTAGAAAACAATTAAATGTACATTTTAAGAATGTTTTGAAACTAGAATGAATAACAACATAACTATGTTGCTTATAGAAAAAAATAAAACAGTCTTTAAGATAAGCTAAAGGGTATAAAGGAAAATTGCTAACAAAAATAGATTTAAATCATACTGAAATTGTTAAATTTTGCCTTCCATCTGTGTGATAACTTAAAAAAAGATGAAACTTGTCAACTGAAGCCATGACAAACCTGTTCAGTCTCCACAAAGTTGGCCACCTGTCCGTCATCGTTTGTCCCTCGCACATTAAATCTCGTGCCGGCTCGCTCTGAGCTGAGGCGAGAGAAGATACAAGCCTTGGCCTGTTTGTGGCCAGCATAGATGGTCCTGATCTCTACGCCGCCACACATCAACCTCAGCAGCCAGTCATCACAGTTTACTCCATAGTGTTTAAGGTGCAAGTGCAGAGACTGGTTCCTGTTTGGTTATAAAGAGGGAAGATGATTATTTTTTTTTAAAAATCAAAAACGATCACAATCTTTGAAGAAAAAAAAAAGGTTATTCTACTAACTTCAAACAGAGAGAATGTTCACAAATTATGTGTTATGTTACCAAAAGAAGCGGTTGTCTGTAGTATCTTCCAGGATCCTGCGATGCGCATTGAGACTTAGATCCATGCTGATTCCAGTAGCAGACCAGGCAAAGTAGAAGTGTCCTGAGTTTAGGACCTTGCGCACTTCAGAAATCCGGTCCTCATCCCCTGGATCATTCTTCAGCGATATAAAGTCTGTCTGCGTGACCCTGAAGACCTCTGAATCCTGCACCTTCCCCACAGAGCTGCATCCTGTCACAACCACGAGACTGTGGAGCATGGAGTCCCCTGCAAAATCAAAGGATCAAAAGTACAAAAAATGGTTTACTGAACTTTGATGCCATTACTGCTTAACAAGAATTCAGCAGCCAGTCTAATCTCAGCCATCAAGAAGACTGAGCTTTAATCTTTCACACTGCTAGTTCCTTGTCGTGATAACAACAGCCTTCAAGGTCATATGAAGGACGGAAGAAAGCAGCTTATGACTAAGGAGCAACTATGCCACGAACAAGAGAAGCAGCATGGCTGCCTGGAAACATTTAGGGAACAATCATTTTCTGTTTTCCTACCCAGGTTTAGCCGGAGAACACCAAGAATTCCATATGCATCAAAGATCCTGGTATAAGTACTTTTAATGGCATCCTTTTCCGCCGCCGCTAAAAGAAACAAAATGGGTGAGAAGAAAACATTATTAGAGCCTGTTCAAATATATTCTTTGTAGTGTTTCCAAAGCCAGATGTTCTAGGATGAATCGCTTCTGTCATACTTCCATTGAAATGCCATTGCTTGAAAGTGCAGTCTAAAGATAGTGTTAATCATATCTTTAATCAAAAACAGATGGCTTACACAAAACGGCAACAGCTCCTGATTCAAACATGAGGCATTCTTCCCTCGCCCTCGTTTCCACTATGACACTGTAAGGTGGCGGATCCAGCTTGTGGTAAATACGGTATCCTTTGCTGAAGGCCATAGCTGATCCAAGATGAAAAAAATCCTATGTTACTATCTGCAAATAAAGGGAAGAAATAAGAATCAGTGATGGTGAGACATAAAAATACATTTACTTAAAGATTTTTGTTGAATAACTTGAACTGTAGGATCTTTATTTAGGTAAAACAAAAAATACTAAAATAAAAATACAAAATCATTATTAGGTATTAGGCTTAGGTACATCTAAGCATTTGTACCTAAGCTTTCTTAAATTTTCTTTACTAATTCAAAAAAGTTAATCATGATGTTAATTAATTCACTTACAAACTGAAGAGGATGGGAAGCTCTTCCTTTTGATGCATTTAATCAAAAGAAAAAAAAACCCATTTATCTATCTTTTAGTGGTTGATTTTGATCTCAATTCAGTTGAATGGTGCATCTCTAAATACACAAATATACAAAGTAACATGCATAGCTAGCACCAAGCTTGACACACTTTGAGGTTCAAAACTGCCTCAATTCAGCAAAGTGTCAGAGACACGCAGAGATTTTGGGTCATATTGGCATTATAGCAATGCAGAATGCAGCAGATGTTCTTTCTTCAGCTGCACATTTGCGATGCAATTCTTCTATTACAATGTTTCCTAAAGTTGTCCACTAGATTGAGATCTGGCATCTGTGAAAGATTGTCATGTTCAGAGAGCCAGCTGATTTGAGCTATGTGATTTAAGCTGTGTGACAGGGTGTGTTATGCTGCAGAAAACAGCCATCCGAAGGTAGATAGGCTACAGCCATAAAGGAACAGACAAGGTCAACACTGAGAAAGATTGTGTGTATGATCAATTGTTTGACACTGTTTAATGTTTACATTTATGAAAATTGGTGGATTTGTTCCAGGTTGTGCCAATCGCTACTCAGCTGGACCGTGGCACTGTGATCCAAGGCTAAAGAACATCAGATAGCCAAACTCATTTGAAACAGATAAGACCATAATGCCGCCTGCACAAAATAAAGTTGGAGATTTGAATAATATCTTAGCAAATGGATTTCCAATCTTATCACATTTTTTTTCTCTGATTTTGAATAGGACAATAAATCTTAACAGACTGAGACAATGAAGGCCACTGCACATGGGTGAGCAGAGCAGTTGTCTTCCTTCTCAAGAGTATGGCAAGTCTGAACAGAAGAAAACCAAAACACAACACGGTATGCTTTACATAATACAATTGTCTTGCTTATCCACAAAGACAGCAAGTAGAAAGTTATGGGTAAAGCTACATTTTGACAAAAACTTCTAGTTGTTTACAGTTTGCTACAGATAGGATGGATAAGCTCACCATTTGTCTTAAAATCTAAGGCTAACCTATAGACAATAACACAGTGAGTTTATTGTATTTCAAAACGTTTCCCTTAAACCGCAAATAAGGGAAACTTGCCAAACAATTACAGGAACAATGAGGAAAGTTAGGCTGCAAAGTCATCCGATTTGTGAGGACACTGGCCGACAGAGATGACAAACTAATATTTATTTTTAACAGGCTCGCTGCAGGGCAACAGTGATAGAGGGAGATGGTGAAAGTTAAAGGCCGGGGAAGTGGCAGATCATCTTCCCGGAGTGATAGTCACGACTTCAAAACGCAGCAGCAGCAAACGAAGCAACCGCTAACCTACCAGCTAGCACACAATGCTACATTTTTATGCGATGCAAAGCCATCAAAAGAAGCAGGTGAATTACTCGTATATGAAGAAAGTATTTGTTGTCCTTCACACACCTAACGCTAGCTGGCAACGTTAGCCAACTTAGCCAGATTAATTCAGAGACGGCTATGATTCGCTAGGTTTCATTATTTTGATGGTGGCACTACCTGCGCGTCCTGGGATGATTAACTACCAGCTACTATCGCATTTCTTATCTCGTCCCACTCATGTAAAACACACACGCTTGCATATATTTCTAAATGTTAGTTTTATGTAGTAACTATCTGGTTTAATTAAAACATACAGAATAAATGTGCTACACAGCCCGTCTTACCGTCTCCCCGCCGGGTTGCAGCACCGCTGTCACAACAAAATCCTTCCTGGCGGTGTGTTGGCGGAGTGGTACATTCTGACGTAAAGTAAAGCACGCCCTGCTTCACGTTACCGTAATACTTCTAAAGCCATGCATGACGGAAGTGCCTTTATTGCAACAAAACTTGAAGTAGTTGCCTTTAAAACCCAGTAAACGATACTGATAACAACTGTACACAAACACAGATAAACTATAATTAATACGCAGAAAGAAACTGGAAATATGAACTCGTTCGCATTTAAACATAATAGACAGTCACTCACATCCAATTAAAGAAAGTGTGCAGTTCTTTCTACCAATCAGAGTAGACCAGAGGCGGGACATCGGCTTTCATAACCCTCCGTGCTGGCATATATAACAAGACTTCCAGCCTATTCGTAAACACAACAGTGTTCGGAAGTGAATATCGAGCAATAACATGACTGTATTGGCCATTTAAGAAGGTAGGTATTAATACTGCACTGTCTATGCAAAACATTATGATTAAAATGAATACTATACAATAAGGCTTTGTTACGTGTGTTATCGAACTGCCCTCGTTCACCCGCAGCCTCTGCTAATGTTAAACTATTTTATGGTTATTAAATGTTGTGTTATCTTCCTAACTGGCAGACAATGTTAGATCGTAATGTATTTCTTAAATGATAGCATAACGATAGTAATACGAGCAGATAAAAGTAAATTCATTTTGTTATATGCATGTATAAGCTGTGTGAATTTGTTCTGTTGACAAACAGAACGGTGACAATTTTAAAGCAGCAAATTACGTTTTTTCTGTCACCCAATGTAACTATGGATCAGGGTTATGTTTTAAAGCTATGGTCAGACGTTTATGTAGAAACAATTAGGCTCTTTACAGTTTTTCACTTACACAAGACACGAGGGTAAATTGTTACTTGTGTTTTACATTTTAGTTGATATGTAATTGAGATAAACTCTATAAAAAACAAGTTTTCCATGTTTTTGGTGACATCACAAAGTGCGTGAAGTGTTTGCATAAGATGCTTTATGCAAAGCTTGTTAAATTTAGTAAATTAATTGTTTTTTTAATTAAATTATGGAACCCATAGATCTTAAGAACCCATAGATTTAAGGGAAATTTGGAAGCATTCAAAGAAAGCAAAGACAAAACACCCATAGTCACAATTTCCACAGTTTCTTTCTTAAATTAACAATGGACATTCCGTTATAATCAAAACCTGAAACTGCACTGCACTGAAAGGAGCAAGGAAAGAAAATCTCCCACCTGTCGCCAGAAAAAAATGAACTGTATATTTTTTCCTTCACTTTGTTTTTTTTTCTCTCTATTTTTCATTGAAGAAAAACTATAGATTTATTGAAAAAGAAAGAATAAAAAACATCTATTGTATTGTAAAGAGGTTTTCTTGAACATCTATTTAACAAAACATAGATTTATGGGAAATTAAAGTAAAAAACATGTAACTTAAAATTTGAAAAGAAACCCTAAACATATTTGAGAACACCTGTAAAATGAAAAAATTCAGATTTTGCTGTTTCCTCCTTATGTAATAAAAAATTGTTCAGTTCTAAATCATGTAATTTCAATTGTATATGCCTCTTATGATATCATTGACGCAGATACATTTGAAGATTAAAATCTGCTGGTTAGTTTGCATCCTGTCTTTTTATTGTGTGTGAATATGTTTGTGAAAACAGATGAATAATACTTTTAAAGACCAGTCTCAGCTCCTGGTTTATGTGTATGCATCTCTAAATATCTAATGTTCTTATCCTGTATTTTTCAGAAACTTTATTTCATTCCTCCTCAACATGAAGCGCCTTTACCTGGTGGAGCCGGTGGTGGCTCTGTATGCTTTTAGCAGTTTTCTCATCTACCCGCTGGTCCAGCAGTATGTGTACAGGAGGCTCTGGCAACAGCTGACCAACACTCCCTATCCCGTCTCGGACAACTCTTCCAGATGTGCTCCAAGTAACAGCAGCAGCAATCAGACCGACTTCCATAAGGTTTGTTCCTAATGGAGGGATGCAACCTGGTGTCATCTCAAATAATCTTATTTGCAACAAACCTTAGTTCATTTTTTCATTATCCAAACAAAGCTGAGAATTACTGGGTTTTTTTCACAGGACGGAGAGGATATGTTTATTGATTATCTAATATTTAACTTTTGATAATATTCTGTTATTTTATGTAAATAAATATCAGTCCCAAATATGATTCCCTCTAGCTCTTTGTACGGATGTCTTTTAACATTTTCATGAAAACTATATAGGATTGAATAATCAATATTATTCTAATTCTAGCTGGTGGTTATGTTTATTAGTGCATAAACACTGGTCAACCCTTAATGATCAATGGAAATGAGCTATGCTGAAGTATTTTCATCCCTGGAACATTTTCACATTTCACACAAAAGATTTGGCCAGGTTGTATTTTTTATTATTATTATTTTTTTCGCAGATAAAAATCTGATAATGTGGTGAGCATTTATATACCCGTTTTAATTTCATGCTACGCAATTAACTGGCTTGAGAAGTTGCATAATTATGTTGAAGTCCATAGTTTTAATATTTCAAAATTAAAGGGTATATTGTTGTTGCACCTGAGCAACATTGTTTATTCATTACAGTAGTGTTTTTGTTGTGAAATAATTTAAAATGCTCATTTGGTGAATACATTTAATTGTATGCCATACATGTCATTCAAAGCAGACATGTGACTCAAGCTTAACCTTCTGAACTTGACTCCAACACCCTGAACTAACAACATAATCTCAAATCATTTTTAATCCAATAACAGCTTGCAGTGTTCAATGTACCAAAATAATTAGATTTTAAGCAGATTAAAAGAAGCATGCATTCATGGACCAGTATTGTCATGCTATAAAATTTTTTAAAAATAAAAGTAGGAAGTGAAACACATTCACACAAGAATTATCTATTTCTGTCTGAAAACACAGCTGTCACATTGGCAGCTGCAATAGAGCTTTGTTCCGCTTGCTTTTTCTCAAGAAAAACCTCACTTGTTTTCACAATCTCTGCCATCTTTATAACTGCTTTTACAGGTGTTAGACAACAGTTTTGAAAGATTTCAAACCCTCTAACATTTTTGTGTTATACTACCATTTGGTCTAAAACTCAAATTAAAGTGTCAAAGTCAGCAGATTGTTTTTCTAGGTCTTTGGAGCATGGATTAAAGATCATTGCTCCACCTGTTTCTGCAAACAACCAGATATCAGGCTGAAAGAAGACCCTTGCGTACAAGAAAGCCAAATCGATCTGTTTAGAGATATCTGCCTGTCAAAAACATTGACTAGTGGTTTAAAACTAAATGATCCCTTCTTGTTGCCCTTTTTAGGAGTTAAAACTACTATTTTAAAAAGCAGTATGCAACATGTCTACTATAAAGGTGACTGTAGACTCGCTACAAGAGCAGATAGACCCACTAATTATTTGCAAATATTGCTATAACACTGTGTCAATCAATTAACATTAAATTTTTGGAGTACTTTTCAGTTAGGCTAAAGGAAACAATTTCTTTACATAAAATAAAACAACAAGCAACAGCAAAATTGTTGTTTTGAAGGACCAAGGAAAGTCAACTGGGATAATTGGGGTAATGAGGCGACACTGGAATATTCAGTAGTGTATGCATATCAGCATGAATTGATTTTATTCTAACCTAAATTACCTGTCTTCCAGGAGGTGCAGAAGCAGACGTCTCTTTTCTCCCTTTACTCGGAGCTACTCTCCACAATCCCATCTTTGATCGTTACTCTTGTGCTGGTGGCCTATAGTGACCGGGGCGGACGCAAGATCACCATCATTATGCCTCTGATCGGCACACTGATATATACCAGCACCTTCCTGACTGTGTCCTTCTTTGAGCTCAACATCTACCTTCTCATTGGCTCTTCCTTTCTTAGCTCTCTGTTTGGGGGTATAAGCACTTTCCTGGGAGGCTGTTTTGCCTATATAGCGGACTTGTGCCAAGACGACCGGCAGAAGACGCTGCGAATGGCCGGAGTGGATATGATGATTGGACTGTTGTCTGGAGTGGCTGCGATATCTACAGGTTACTTCCTGAGAGCCGCAGGCTTTAACTGGCCTTTCTTAACTTCAGCCCTGTGCCAGTGTTTGATCCTAGTCTATGCAATTTTTATCCTGGAGGAGACTGTAAGAAAGACTCCCGCTGATGGCAGTGATATTGACGGGTCTCCTCAGCGCCCTGGATTGAGACAGTTGATCTTTGGGCTCTGCCAGATCTTTGCAAGAGCAAGCTACAAGTGTAAAATAGTCTTAGCCCTCCTGATGATCATCTTCACCAGCTTCACCTTCACCTACATTGGAGGCATCTCCTTAGTGACACTATATGAGCTGAACGAGCCACTGTGCTGGACTGAGATTCTGATTGGGTATGGCTCAGCACTGTCCACCACGGTGTTCCTCACCAGTTTTCTGGGAGTGTCGGCATTCACATACTGTGGAGTCCCGCAGCTGCTGATCGTTGCATTGGGGATCTTGTCTGTGCTGTCAGGATTGATCATGATGGCGTTTGCAAAAACCACAGTTCTGATGTTTTTAGGTAAGTTTAAGCTGCTGAGCCGTAATTAAAGTTATTAAACTTTGCTAAAACATTACTTGAACTAGACAAAAATGCAACCCCAAGAATTTGATTATTTATAAAAAAGATTACGTAATTTATTTCAATATGTGGAACATCAATATTTAATGGATTCACTACACTCATAAGTGTGTAGTCACTTTTCAGACCTTGTAATTTATATTTTCTGTTTCATTTGATGACATTTATCTGAAATAACTTTTAAATACTGAACAAGATAAAAACACTTGAAAAAATAAAGATCCTTAACAAAAACACTACATTCGCTATTCTCACTGGTTACAGATTGACAGTAAGTTTACTGGCCTGTAATGTGTTCTGAAGCTACTGAGTTTGCAGGATCTTTTATTAGAAGACTGAATTGTAAGCTTTATTGTGTTTGTAATCATGACATCTTATCTCTGCTTTGCTTATTTTCTTATCTCTGCTTTGTTTGCTTTAGATATAGTACTGCCAGGGGGTTTATTATGAAAAACATGAACGCTGAAACTCGTTATAATTTTGACATTTCCGTCACTGATTATGTGTGTTTGCAGTTACATAAAAGCTTTAATAAAATTTCTTACTTAATTTTCTTGTTTGTTTTATTTTTATTGCAGCAAGGATCCCCATGCTGCTGTCCATAATGCCTTTCCCTGTTCTCCGCTCGGTAATATCAAAGATCGTCTCCAAGTCTGAGCAAGGCAAGTGTGCTTTTGGACACACACCATGAATGCATGTCTGTGTTTAAAGAGTCATAGTCCACTGGTGTGTGTCCTGTCCTTAACTAAACACTTAAAGTTTCTGTTTATCCTAGAAGTGAAAGGACTTGAAGAAACATAACATTTTGACTTTAGTCGTCTCTGTTATACTTCACTGAATCCATTTTTTTTGTTTGTTTTTTCAGGAGCCCTTTTTGCTTATCTTTCCTTTCTGGAGAGTATATTTAATAATGTTGGATCTGCAGTCTTCAATAGTATCTATGCTGCAACGGTGGGGTGGTACCCGGGCTTTGCCTTCCTCTTAGCTGCGGGATTCTGTGTCATTCCTTTATCTGCAATTGTGTAAGTTAATTTTCCTACTCTTTACACCACAACAGTAAACTGTCATATCAGGCTTTTGCTTGACTCTTACATATAGCAGCCATTTATTTTCTAAATGAAAAGACATTCATAAAATAGACATAAATGAAATCAAATCAAACAGAAAAATAAATCTAAAAAGAAGAGCAACATTTTTAGTTGACAAGTTTATGCAAACACAATCCTATACAAATCAATCCTATACAAATCAATTGTTCCTAACTCAAAGAGTTAGGAACAATTGATTTAAAGTATCAAGAAACAGTGGCTGATGAAAAGGCATCACCACATTATGATGTCACCACCCCCATATTTCACCACAGCGATGGTATGAGCTTGGTAATGTAGAGTATTAGTTTTTGTTCACACATACAGATTTTCATGCAAAAAAAAAGTTATTTTTTGGTGTAATGTGTTCCACATTTATTTTATGTCCCCTACACACAGGGCTTCCTGTGGTTCTTTTCTTCCAATGGCTCACCACCTTCCTATAAAGTGTTTTATCAGAGACAAATCCTGGGTAAAGAAATTGTCTGATTTGTTCAAACACAGATTGTTATTAGAAAAAAGCTATACTCAAAGATACATCCAAGAACAATACTAAAATGCATGATCTCAGCAATGTTGCTTAAAAGTTTTTGCTCCAACTTGTTATTGGCTGCTTGGGATTTGGATGACAAAAACACTTTTCTGCTGGGTCATAACTGTCAAATACACATCATTTCTGTAGAAAAGAGAAATGTTCAGAATCAAAAAGTAGGAAGGCACAGTTCCTTATTTGAAGTATAACTTTCTAACCATTGTCCTAAGAATTAAAAACCATATCACACAACTTGCTTAGCTTTCTAAGATGTGAAATCACTTTTAAACCTAGAAGGTCTTGATTTGCATATTATATTACAGCTCAGGTGGGAGAAGTTGAGAGGAAAAATATTACTAGGGCATTCAACAAACCTTTCAATTCAAAGTGGGAAAAAGAAAGTTGTTCTTCAAAGAAATCCATACAATGTACCCTTTAAGGTTTACTACAAGTCATGTGGGGAAACACCGAAAATGTGGAAAAAGGAGGAAATGAGCCTTTATGCAGAACACTATGGTGGAGAATTAATATTGCACATTACCTCGATCCTTCCATCCCAAACATGTTGGTGCCAACATCATGCTGTGGGGATCCCGTTCTTCAGCAAATCCAAGGGAGCTGGTTAGAGTTGAAGGGAAGATGGATAGAGATAAATATTGGACAGTCACAGAAACATCCAGTCAAAGATTACATGAGACTGACTGAAACCTGTCTCCTTCCAGCTGTGAACAGAAAACAGTTCTTCTGACTCGGGTAGCCTGAATGTATTCATACACCACAATCTTCAGATTTGCATTAGTAAAAATAATTGGGAAATGCTGAATCATCTTTCTTCCACTTCACAACCACACACTTTTTTGTGTTTGTCTATCAGACAGAATCCAAGTGGTATAAAATACTTTTCAAAGGGTTGTAGGCTGTGCCATGAACACTGAAGTTCTCTGTCCTAGAACAACTGTCAGCAAAAGATTCTTTTGCTGACAGTTGTTAAACTGCAAAGACAAAGTGATACTCAATGTGAGAGCTGTAGCGTGAAACATAACCCTCCTCACTGCCTACATGTTTATCACATGCTGTGCTTCTTTCTTTGCACAGTGATCAGTTTTGAAATAACAAAGGCCTACCCAGATATTCTGTTGTTGCCTGCTAACTACATGTGCACACAGATTGCAAACTCCTTAATGAAATGGAAAGGCATTTTAGTTTTAAAATTAACTTATAGACAATGTGTCTGTGAACTTCCAAAAAAGAATTGACAATTAATGGAAATGCATGACACAACAGATAAGGTTGTCTCCCTTTTTATCTAGAATTAGTAATGTCTATTTCCTGTCCACATGTGTTCCTCTTTCTGAACATTTTAGTGCAGTGGCTTTTATCGGAGTGGATGTTACCACTGAACCCATAAAGTCAGAAGATGGAACCTCTGAGGAGGACGGCCAGGCTGAGAAGGAGAACGACACCAGTCCTCTTCTCAGCTCTCCTTCTGTTAACACCTCAGCTGGACATTGTTAACGTATTTACCTTTTAAGTATGTCAGTAACTTCAGTTTTCCGGGTTGATACCACAGGAAAGTGTAATATTTTGTTGTTAAATTAGTTTTGATGTAGTGCTTCTTCTCTTTGCAGGAACTTTGTCAGTTTTATTTTTCATGCTAAATACCATTTCAAAGGGTTGTAGGCTGTGCCATGAACACTGAAGTTCTCTGTCCTAGAACATCTAATGACAAAAATATGCTTAAGAAGGAGAACGTGAGCTTATCAGGGGAATATATGTGTGCTGTGTCTGAATATTTTTAAAACTTTTGATGAATTTATATATGGTGTAATTAATTGTTTAATAATTCCATCTTCTAATTTACTTTTCACCTTTTAACTGTTAGCTATTTTTTGAACAATTTTCACCAAAATTCTAGCACTGCCTAATTTTCATAAAGTTTGAAGTAACTGATCACATTAATTAACATTTTACAAATACCGTATTTTTCGCCCAATAAGCCACTACTTTTTTCCCACGCTTTGAACCATGCAGCTTACAGCCCGGTGCGGCTTTTCTGTGGATTTTTCTTTAACCGCCACGGGGATCTTCAGCATGAAGTGACTCATTAGAAGTCAAAATTGGAAATCGAAGAAAGCGCTAATTTTCATTTACACAAGCACATTCTAGCAGCAGGCACAGCAGAGAAATGTTTTTCAACTCATACCCCCTCATTATGAAAACCACACAAAGAAGTTCATATGATGCTTTTTTTTAAGTTGAAGGCTATCGATCAGGTGGCACATAACAGACGCAGGACTGTGTCCTTAATGGCAGATTTATTAAGGAAAACCGAGCGGCGGAGATACCAGCGCCTTACAGCCCGGTGCGGCTGGTATGGTTCCAGTTTTTTTTTTTTTACTTTATGGGTATGGCTTATAGTGAGGTGCATTCTATAGTCTGGAAAGTACGGTACTCAGGACACAAAAAATAATATTGCCAAAAATCTTCCCTGTTAACTAATGTCAAAATGCTTTGTTGCAGAATGTATTAATTTGTCTTGGGTTAAAATGGTGTTATTCATTGTTTTATTTAAACCAGAAAAGGGCCGGTTTGACTGATTTTTGCTGGTTTTTTAATTTCATATTTTGTAAATGGACTGTACTTGTGTAGCACTTTAAGTAGTCCAGTCCAGTGGACTCCAAAGTTCTTTTTATTACAAGTTACAGCTGCCTGGAAAAATCTGATTGAAGCTGCCATTCAATCTGCACCACCACCTCTGACTACCACAAGTAGGCAAGGCAGGTGAAGTGTCTTGCCCAGGGACAAAGTGAGTAATAGACTGGGGTTCGAACCCTCATCCCTGAGCCACTGTCGCTCTTTGTGAAACATGTAAAAGTATGTTTCTTTTCAAAAATATTTGCACAATCAGTTATGTGTTAATTTGTCTTTTTGTTGTTTTTTTTATTATGTGTAAAATTATGAAAAATATAAAAGTAAATAATATTTAAAAAAATTGACACGAGAAGATTAAATTAAAAGGGAAACAAACCCTTGAATTTTTAACATGTATTTATGTTGATAAGCTAGTATGTATTGGGAAGTGAACATTTTAATGAGGCAGAGAATGCTTCTTATGTTTCTCTAAAGAAAACTTGCTCATTAGGTGAGCACTTTACATCTTAATTAGCGGTGACACAGAACACCATTAATTAAGATCTGGTATCTGACAATGAGAACTAGCAAAATGTGTTTTTTGACTGGGAGGCAGTGACTTGAAATAGAAAACTGTTACGAGGGAGCTAAAATGTAGGTCAGTTCAGAAATAAATACTTGTGGTGTGAAAGTTATAAGATATATTAGTATTGTGTGATTTGTAATCTTTTCAACATGGAATAAAATCTGTAGAAATAAGGTTAAGTTTCCAGAGACAAATCCAAGTTCACAAGAAGAAAAGAATCAATGCCACAGGACTGAACCTTTGATTTTAAATATTACCAAAAGGTAGACATTCTAAAGCAGTTTTTTGTAGATCAAGGTTTCATTGATAAAATTAATATTTTTGTATCAAAATGCACTTTATATTAGTTAAGGTGTCTTAATAAAATGAACATATAAAAAAGTTGTTTGTCTCTTTAAATATGTCCAGAAGAATCAATTGGAGCTAAACTATTTTTCAATTTTGTGTTGGTCAGTTTTTCTCTTTTTGGTAGGATCTCAGCTGTTGCCAGACACATTTGAAGTTGAATCTGTTCAACAATAAAGTGCTGTTTAAAAGAGCTTTAAAGAAGGTTTTCTTAGAAGGTTTCTTGAAAGCTTACAAAAATACTGGCAATAAGCAACTTTCTTGAAAGTTTACAAAAAAGTTGCTTGAAAGAAAAATATAAATACTGGTACAAATCTGAGAACAGTCCACATTTGTCTTGACCTCCGGGAACGTGACAGTAGCTCACAACAGAATTGCCTATTTCAAATAACATCCACAAAAAAGTAAACTGAGGTGACCCAGATCATAAAAAATGCTATACCCAACACTGAGCACATGAGATCATAAAGCCAGTTAAGCTACTGTTTAGATCTTGTGCCCTGCTATGCAACTTTGAATTTTAAGAATTTCATTTGATATTGCAACCAAGATCTAATTTCCATAAAACCTCTCTATATTGTTAATACAAAATGTCCACACCCATCAATGAACTTTAGAATTTTCCTTTTTGTGTAAAACTTTCAGGCATTTAATTTAACTTTTTAGGAATGTCTTTTTACATAAACTTTCCTCATCTTGTTCTTTTTATTCTCATTCAGTTAGCCTTTTCTGGGTGAGTTTTTATATGAGCCACTAGGTGTCAGTCTTTGTCCACCCATCTAGCAATACTAGCTCAGTTGGTGAAAGTGCTTCTCATTTGAAAAATCCCTTGTTGCATCTTATCATAGCCTTCAACGTTTGTGAGGCTTTTCTTCCATGACACAATGTAAGTATTAAAGTATATGTGTTGTATGGATGATAAATGAGCAAAATAAATGCATTCAAGCCGTATAGCTACTTGTTTTCTGCTTGGGTTGGTTATTGTGGGAACCACAAAAGATGAATGATGTGGCCTGAATGCAATACAACTCCTTCACATTAATCAGCACTGGAGATGCTACATAAATCAGATTTTAGCCACACATGGTGCATCACAGGAATAAGACTTACTTTGGCTTTAAAGTGGACGTTAACAGTTTTTAATGCAGTTGTATGTATAAATAATAAACCATATCTAACTTTATTTAGATTTATTAAAAGGTGGGACAGCTAGATTGATCTGAAAACATATGCCACAAAGGGGGGAAAAAATTGCCAGTCCTGTGAATGTTGTAAAAGTGAAACATCCCCATAAAATTGAGTGTAATTTCCTGTTGGTTATTCTGGCTGTAGCTTCAGTCATGGAAAGCTTAATGATGCCTGATTGAAATGTGGAGTTATTTGATTTCCATTCTCAGGTTTTGAGATTTGAGTCTAGATTGTGATTAGAAGGTAACACAGAGTTTGAATGAAGTTCACTACTTGAGGTTTAACAACGGGTCCTTCTGAGGCACGGAACATATGGTCTCGACTTGAATCAGAGATAGAGGTGTGGTGAGTGGTGATGATAGTTTTCATGGGTTTTCCCAGGGGTAGGGATCTCTGGCGGAGACAGTCAGGGTGGCTTGTGTCAGTGTGGCATGCAAAGGGGTCGATGGGGATTAAAGAGAGAGTTGACGGAATATGGTTTTAAGAGGAGGATGGGGGAATGAGGGTCTCTTTGGTTTTTGGTTTCCAAACACAGCTGAATCAGCACTGCAATCATCTGCACCACACCACATCACATCACCACTGGCCCTTTCTGTGATGTTGATCCAGAGAGCGGGTAACAGACCCCACTCTTTATCTCGATTCTCTACATGGGAAGATAAATTGTAATTAAATACCCTATTAAATACCAAATTTAAGTGACTGAAGTGAAGTTTTGAATGGAACAACTTTTATATTTATATTTACTGCCATCTAATGATGGCATTAAATTAACTTAATGGCATCATCAGATGGCATTAAGTTAATTTTTCCAGGATTTCTAGGGATTTTCAATCTCTTTCAACTGAGATTGAAAATCTACAGTCGATTCCATTTAACGATCTCCCTCTATTGACTATATTGAGGATTAAATGTGGCACTGGAGAATCTAAAAAGAATGGAAATTAAAACAGGCACATAAACTGTGTAGCTAGTGGAAGGCTCAACATGAGGTTTGAATCAGGTGGAAACAATGCCACAAGTGCAGCTTTGTGCCTCGTAGACAGTCCCAGAATAGAGTGAAGGCCAGGGACAATAAACCAGTGTTTGGAGGGCAGCCATTTTCTCTGTCTCTCCCTCCTTTTTTGTTTATTGTTAACAGATAATGCTATTACTCTGATCAACCTTTGCTCCCTATGTGTTTTCGTGCCTGTTTGAATGATTTAGTTTTACAACTGACGTATGATTTTTTTTAACTAGATCGATCTCAAGTTTTGTGAGCTAAACAGTCCGCACATTTTTTGCATTTGGCTTTCATCTTTCCCATAAGCTGCAATGCATGGCTTTTTGTCTTCTCTGATTTATCGATTTATGTTATTGAGATAATCCTATTTGCCTACCCCTTTCCACTCCCATCTGAATCCCATGGATTCATGTGGTTGCCACTCCTTCTACAGATGTCTTTCCCAGTCTTTACTGCGAATAATGTCTGTTTCTTTATAGCTATCTACTTCACCTGCTCCTCATTGTCTTTTCTCGTCTCCACTAGAGAAGGATCGACTGTCTTCTTCGAAGATTTCAAATGTAGATCTTCAACTTCCAATACTGACACATAAACTGCAGATCCTCATTGTCTCTTTTCACATTTCAATTACTTGTCATATCACCAAAATTTTTTAAAATTATTTCAAAATCCAAACATCTAGCTAAAGGGATGGGCCAGGAGTAAAGCACATGTTTTAGTGTCTCAAACTTTCTCATCTAAAAAATATTCATATCTGCAAGCACTACTTCATGAACCTGAAACTATTGTCATGTTTTTATAAGACAGCTATCCAAGGATTATTTACCGGGGAAGCAGAGATTATTGGCAGCAACATTTTCCTTCTTCATCCATTGTCTACATCTCCAGAAGTCATTAAATGAAAGGTGGTGTAAACCAGGACAGATTGCCAATCCACGCAGTTCAAACACACTCATTTCATTTATAAGGGCAATTTTCTGAGAGACTAATTATCCTAAAGGTCATGTTATCCTAAAGATAAGAGGCCCCTGGCTGATATTCGAGCTTCAGTTCTTGCTGTTAGGAAACAGTGCTAGCAATTGTGCCATGGTGCAATATTGATTGAATTTTTTATTTATTCATATTGAAAGACCTTTTTTGTCCTTTATAGTGCTTTTTTTTTAATCTGTGTCACTTTTCTGACCATGCCCTTAAATGATTGTCCGTCTCAACACTCACACATTTAGATCTAATACTATACCATATGTGAATCTGCTCTTCATGGTAAGAGAAGACAATGTATGTCAACAGTCATATTCTTGTATTGCTGACAAGATTTGAGTTATATCCTGTTTACAGAACCTCACCTTAAAATTTCACAGCAATACAAAAAATAATCTAGATGTAACATATCCAGGATATTTCCTGCCTTGTATGCTGCAACTTAAGAGTATGGTGTTTCACCATCCTCACTCTGCATACCAGGTGCAACAAGAAGTGCACCTTTGATTGGTGGGCGGGGCAGGTGCCTTTATAGCCAGGCAGGCCGCTGCAAGGTGCGTGTGTCTTTGTCTCCTCTGCTACATGCTGGCTGACTGAGTGGCCTGTGGTTTTGATCGGCTTACTGGAAATCGTAAGTGCCATTTGTACCATCTGGCTGGGATTGTGGTTTGGTTTTGGTGCTATACCTGCCGTGCGTTTCTGCAGCATTGTTTGCTGGCGTGGCATTGGCGGTTGCAGCTGGAGATTGTTGCGGCGTGTGGCTTCCATCTAGTCCTCACTTGTTGGTCCGCTTCCTCTCCGGGAAACTGTGCTTCCACTCCTGGGTAAGCTACCTGCCATTTTCATTTTTACTTACTTTTCCTAGATCCACAGTAATGTATTTCCTGTTTTAGGCACCAATTGCTGTGGGCATTGCAGCGCTTTGGACGCTCTGCTGTCTTGTCCTGTCAGTGTGGCGTGAGCAGTTCAGAACGGAACCTGCTGCTATTTTGGATATGTGGGCGTGACTCCTTCGGTCCTGTTGTGAGCGGCTTCTGAAATCGGACATCAGCAATTATTCCATTGTTTGAAGTGTTTTGTTTGTTTGCAATCTTTCTTCCTAACAAGAACAATGGGAGAGGCGTAAGGGCTGCTACTTTCCCTTATTACCTGGTTCTGTAGGAGCTGGTTGATATGTGACTTGACAGCCTCGTACTCTGAGGGGGGAATGCGCCTGTACCTCTGCCGAACCGGAACCTCATCCATCAGGGGGATGTTGTGGGAAACCAGATTAGTGCACCCCAAGTCACCTTCATGAGCTGAAAAGACAGAGCTATACTTTTGTAAAAGAGACTGAACCTGCCGTTGTTCAGTTTCAGTCAATGCAGACAAATCAGCAGATTCGATCACGCCCTGCTCTGGACCAACAGCAACCTGAGAAACCGTAGCGCCAGGCCTGATTTCTGTCACACCAGGGTGCAGGCTAACCACTTCCGTCCATACCTGTAGGAGAAGACTAAGAAAAATCTCAAAAGAAAAAAAATAAATCCTAAACACACAGGCAAGTCTTCCTTTAGATAGCTACTGCTGTCTTGTCCTGTCTTACAACACCACTAATAAAAACACACAGTTAAAACCCTACACATTAAAACAAAAAGAAATTGCAAACCTGTGTTCAATTGTGCGTCCTATAAATAAAAGGAACCCCGCCCCTCGGTCGGGTCACACGCCTTTGTCTTCACCCACTTTGACCAGCTATTGCAGGAATTATGAGACCAAAATTCTTGCATTTCTGAGTAAAGTTGTGGTGCTGTAACAGTTTCAAGTGTTTTGTCTTGAATATGTTTTACATTCAAACAATTTGCCAGCATTACTTATTTATTTTTTTATCAACCACCACAAATGGATTTGTTTTTCGAAAGAAGAGTTGGTGATACCTCAAAGAAAGCAATTTATATCGATGATCATCTCAACAATGGTTAGAGGAGACACTCTCAAGGGGGTGGTTCACAATGCTGAGTCTACAGTGTCTGAAAGCTATGAATGTCATTTGTTCACAGCTGCACTCCTGTCTTTAGCAATGTCTTCTGCTGCTGAGCCCAAGCCTTTTAAGACAGGCAACCCCCCACATGTGTGGAACCATGGCAGATAAAAGGTCACTGTGCCAATCAATATGCTGCCTGGTTCTGCTTCAACACACTGGATTAATCAACCTGCTGCTCCTGACAGGGGGAGATATCAGAGCCTGATAATCACAGAAGAATGGAAAGGAGAGGAGTGTGATACATGAGGATTATTTATGCAGAATTTCAGCCATGACATTTTTCTGTTATCACCATGTATATTTTTGTCTCACCTTTTAGTGTCCAAATTGATTAACCCAATCCATCTCTTTTTTCTTTGTACAGGTTTTATTGTCTCTTTGGGCATATTAACAGCCATGTGTGTCTTAAGAAAGATCAAGCTGATTTCATTTGGTTGGGTCGTGCCGTTAAAGAAGCACACAAGTTGTCCTAAAAGAGGTATATCTGTGGTCAAATCAGAGCCTCTCCAGCTTAACTTGACATTAGAGAAACCACAAGGCTAGTAAAAAAAAACCCTTTGTTTAACTGTGCCAGCAGTCATTTAGCTAGCATTCATGTGGAAATCTGTAAGGGAGCAGCAGCAACATCTGTATTTATCTGATCTGGTCTAACACAACCATTGCTGTTCTTTGCTATGATCCTGGTTACTGTTGGCCAAAGTTGGATGTTTTTTAAAATTTTCTTCTGCAGTTCATTCATTTAGATATCAGTTCTTTGTTCTGACCCTCAGTTTTGGTTCTGGTATTTCTGGCAACAGAGATTCTCAATATGGTTTAGATCAGGTTAGGTTACTTTACTTGGAAATCAAGGACATTAAATGTTACTAAGTCAAGCCAAGTTTATTTGTATACTTTATTAAAACTCAATTGATCAACACCAGCAGATGACATAGCTCCAGAAATAATCTCAGATGGCGAAAATTTCATGCTGGATTGCAAGCAGCTTTGATTTATCCCTCTCAACATTTCCTCCAGAATCTGAAATGGATGAAATGGAAAACTTAAAAAATATGGTTTTGGACCAATAACCAAAAGTTAAATTCTTTTTCCACTTTTGACGTTTCTGTTTTCTGAGTGACTTACCGCAAGAAATGTCTGGGACACGTCTTTGTGTGGTGACTCTGGAGGCGCAAACTCCAGTGGCTGTCCACAATCCATGAATCACTCCCGAACTCTTTTCTCTGTCTTTTGCTCTTCCTAAACATTTAAAAAAAAAATGTTGATCCATGTCCATGCCTCATAGCTGTAACTAGTAATATAAAACTTTGAAAGCTACATTTGCTGTTGGCCACTCTTTGAAGCCCTATGTTGACATTTTCTTGTGTCAAATACTATTTGTGACTTTCCTACAAAATCCAAACCACAAACCCTTCAGCCCAATCCTATTACATCACTCGGGACGGCAGGAGGCTCAATAATTTCCTAATACAGTTAGACATTGTTGATTTTAGCTAGTGTTACTCAGACAACAGTAAAAAGTTACATTTGTTTTATTTGCAACACAAGACACCCCTGCAGCTCAAAGGAAACATGTCAAGAGCATTTCCCTGAGCACTGTATCAACTTTAAAAGCCACAAACCAACAATCCTCAGTTTGAAACCCCACTCTGTCAGTGACCCCTGAAATATCAATGTTTTGTTTTCATCTGTCTGAATTAGAAGAGGCCTTTCTGCCCAACACAGTCAAGTAATCCATGCATACCAAGTTTTAATGAAGACAGTTATTTGAGATGCTGTTTTTTTGTATTCCTAAATTCTGCCATGAACCAAACATGAGAGACAATGTCTCGGTGAAAAAAGCCGAGTTTAAGATTTCTAACAGCAAAACAAACATCGGACGCACCAAAAACACTAAAAATACTTACACATTAAACACAACAAACCATCACATAAGAAAAATGTTAAAATGCTAATCAAAGCAAATGAAAGCTTTAAAAGTTAACAAGTCCCATTAAAATTGTTGAAGATCTTGGACAATATTGCTTTTATTAATACAAGGGTACAATAAAAAGTAAAAGTGATTTAAACATTTTACTTCAGATTTTTTTTAATCTTTCATCAACATGACACTTTTACAAATTGTATTTTTTATTATATTTCTTTACCTTCTCACCTACATGTCTAACTAGTTTCCAGGATGTGTGGGGTCTGCAGAGACGTAAGCTGCCCTTTTCTCAACCCTAGACCTGCATAGGTCTTAGACGGAAGGGAGGTTAGCTCTTACAGTCCTCTTTGCAGTCCTAAATATTCAATGCAGTCTGGACTAATTCTGTTCATAAGCAGTATCTGTCTGTGGATCAACTTAGATCCCGAGAAAGGATTGTTCCAATAAACCATCGGTGATCCACAGTAGACATGGTGTTGTTGAGAATGGTAAGGGCACTGTTCAGTTAGCGTAGGTCCTGTTTCCACATAGTATTTCCCGGTTATCTGTACCTGTAGTATTATTTTTTTCCAAAATCTGCTCCACTGTGCACTTCTGTAAGTTTCACTTCTCTCTGAACCCTGTTGTTTGTCAATCACTCCCCTGTTGTTCACCTGTGACTAGCTGCTTTTACAAATATTTGGTGTGAAGCTTTATTGTCCTAAGAATCTTTCCGTAATAAATGAATTTGACAGAAAACAGTGGAGGAGGCCAAATTATGCTCTGAAATCCCAGAAAATGTTGAGAAAACCGCTCATAAATTTGGTAGAAATGCAAACCAAACCAAAACCTCAGTTTTAAGAGCATGAGGTAAGGCACCTGCACAAATATGATCTTCAGAAAATTATAACTGGAAAGGATTTATCATATGCTCACCTCAAAATTCAGTAAAAAGATATTTGCAAATTAACATCATACAAGACCTCACACAACCCTGGAGATAATTTTTCTGGACACTTGAAGTAGTAAAAAGAACACTGCATGCTTTTGGCTCATGGTACATCTTGTGGAAAAGGAAAACATTACACCCTCACACCCTCTGATCGCTCCCCAAAATCACATCAATTACTTTGGTTACCAATCACACTCAGCCAAAAAAATATAGGAGAACAAAAAAAAAGATAATCTGAAATTTCTAATTAGTCTGAACTAGAACTCTCCAAAAGAAAATAGCTGAACAATTAGATATTTAGTAATACTGATCATGGCACCAGTCCAAATGTTGGTGTCACTTAATTTTAATTGAATTGTAAAAACAAATTAAACAGGGGAAACTCTTACTAAACACCTTATTCTATTCATCTTTCTATATCCAATATTTGTTTTTTTTTTCTATTTGCATGTGACATTTTAGCTTCTGTATACAAAGCTTGAAAACAAATTTATGCGCTAGAGTTGAGATGACAAGGGTAACAAAACATAGTTTTGAATTTACTGTCCTTGCGGTCCAAGGGCATCCTCCCTTTTATTCTCTTCCTTCCCAGTAAAAGAGAAAAACTTGCAGCTGAAAAGAATCTGTAGAAATGTGCCTGAGCCTGTCATCTGTATGGGAAAAAAACCATGTGGAGTGTGTGAGACCTTGTAATTCAGGGATCTACATGGAAAGTTTTGGGACACAGAGTCCCGTGGGCTGTTTTAGGCTGATCTCAAGCCAGCTGTTATTCCAGAATTATTTGTGTCTACTGCAACAGTGATAACATCTTTCTCGTGTCTGTTGGTGATTGATGTCAGCTTTGTTGGTGATTCAACATATGCTAAGTAGACATGAACATATGCATTTCAAGCACGACGATGCATCTGGCTAGATATAAAGCATTTGAACATAAGGAGACATGCATATCATCATTTACGTAGCTATAGAATATATATTTAGAAGTACTTTACTGAAGGATATCTATTTGTTTGGATTAAAATTGCGAAACATAAAAATAAGTAGTTTTTTTGGAAAATTGTTATACATGCTTTTGAAATTAGCTAATTTTAAGCTTAAAAATATCTGCAACTAAAACATTGACAAACAATTACTTTTAAGTTTAACAGTTTATCAACCCTGCCCAGCCTTAATGTTTTGTTACTTTTTGCCATCAATATAAATATGACTTTCATCATCACTCATCATTCATCTGTGTTGTAGATGCCATAACAGTTTACCATAATGAGTTGCATTCATGTTCCTCTTCAGTGCCCACAGAG